AAACAATTTTAATTGTAACTGGAATCAGATCAGACCAGATCAGATTTTTAAAAAATCAGATTAGATCATATTAGGCGAACGGAACACAGCCTAAAGCTAAAAGGTGTACGTGGATCACGCCCCATCATGCCATCCTTCGGTTCCTTCCTGCTACTCAATGTCAAATTTTCTCTTTTCTATCACATCTCATTCCCATCCAGGGGTGTGGAGCATGCCCATCCTTTTTTTCTTTTATATTGTTTTTAATTAATTTAAATTAAGACTACTTAAGAAAAAAGTAGCAAAAAATTTTAAATTTATTTAAAAAAATAATTCATAGTAAAATAAATATTTCATTTAATTAGCAAAAAGAACCTGAAATTAAAAACAAAAAAAAATAAAAAATTGAAAGTAGAAACAGTCTAAAGAAAGCAAAGAAGATGAAACTCTCTGGGGGTAACCCAATACCGAGAGAAACAAATCTGAAGATCACACAATATAAAGAAAACGTGTAGGTGTGGCATGCACAAAGATGCTGCAACATAGGGTGTAAGTTATTGTGAGATACTCCCTCCGTTCCAATTTATTTGCAACACTTCGAACGATGTGCAAAGTATTATCTCTTTTAAAATTACTTTAATTTCAAATTGGTAGAGTAATAAAAAGTAAAAATTACACCATTTAAAAGTATATGAAAAGCTCTACAAAACAAGATGCGACAAGAATATTTTATTTTATCAAATGGTCAACCAAAACGAGTAAACAAACAAAAGTTATCGAGAGACCAGAATAGTAAACGTGTCATTCTTTCTGGGACGGAGGGAGTATGACATATAGTTATAGTGTGCCTAACATTTTCCGTGTCATTGCAAAACTAAAAAAAGTACGGAGTGATTAATACTTTCTTTGTCTTATTTTTAAATTGTTTGCCTTTTTTCTCCGTCCCAAAATAAGTTGTCTGTTACTTGTAATCGTAAACTTTTAAGAGTAAAATATCTAAGCTGCCCCTAAAATAAGTCACTCTTCTCCACCTTATCTTCTCATTCATCGTCATCCCTTCTAAAAAGTAATGTCAATTTCGAAAAATCAACTCTATCTTTTCCCTTCCTTAAATATGCCCAAAGTCAAAACAGACGATTTAAAACGGGACGGAGGGAGTAATTGACACAACAATATGTTTATATAGTTTGGAGCAAACTCTTCTACTCTCCTATGTGCAACGGCCCTTCACTAAACAAACATTATGATTATTGCGCATATGGTGAATGTTTTATTCTTTTTTGATATGTTGTTGATGCTAGATTATTTCAATTTGTATTTCATTATATTAATAATGTTTTTTTTGAATGTTATTGATTGTGTGCTTTTAAAAAAAGTAAAATTTGCACTAAATAGTACTAAAACATACGGAGTATAACATTTCTCAATTTAGTACTTGAACTTTTTTATTTCTAAATAGTACTTGAATAATGTATAATTATGGGAATAATGCCAAGTGATAGTAAACATTAAGTTTGAACAATGTCCAATGGTGCTGGACATTTATTTGAATAATGACCAGTGATACTATATTCACTATGTTTCAGTATCATTTAGATAAATTCTCCAAAAGTAAAATTTCTATTAAATAGTATTAAAACATATGATATTTCAGTTCCAAAAGTGAAATTTACTAATTCTCCAAACAAAATTAGTAAAAAAAAATCCGCCACAGTACAGAAGCGAATTAAAATTTCTTGAAATTTCAAAACATCGGAATTACACGCATAATTCAGATTTAAATATTTTAAATTTTAAAATTTTTTGACGGACATATCGGTCACTAATTGGACGCCATACAAATTAATTTGCAACTTTATTGCAAAATCACAACGTCAATTCAAGAAGATTGTTAAGTTGTGAAGGACAGTACCGTCACAAATTTTTCGATGACAAAATTTCGTTCACAAAAAATTTGTGACGCCCGATTTCGGAAGCCCAAAGTCCGTCAAAAAATTTGGTTTACTTTTGGAGTTTAGCCCAATGCTGGAGTTACAAACAAAACACTCACAAAATATACAAACTTAGTATTCGTGATTTTAAGTTTTAATTTTTTAATTATTTGAGACCATTTATAACTTCAGTTTTCCATAATTATTTTGAGTTTATATATACTCCTTCGGTCATAAAAATCTTTTCTGTTTGGATTTTTTTAATTAGACAGTGACACTCTTTGACCACAAATTTTGAACAAAGTGTATTTAATTATAATATAAATTTAATATAATTAGAATCATCTTAGGATATAGTTTTGATATATCAAATTTTTATACCATATATTTATTTAGATTATGTTTAATTTATAATTAAATAATGTCAATATTTGACAAAAAAATCAAAATTGAAAAGACTTTTAGGATTAGAGAGAGTAGTACAAACACAAAATTTGAACCTTTATTATTTGAATGGACTCTTTTGAGGCAAAGTATATACTTCCTCCGTCCCAAAAAATCTTTCCTGTTTCATTTTTTGCGTATCCCATAAAACACTTCTACTGACATCTAAAATGCCTAAAATTTACAATATTTCTTCTTTATTGTGGGTAGAAGTTATTTTGAAAGTATTTTTGGCATTCAAGGCGAGATAGAAATGTTTTATGGGATGCGCAAAAAATGAAACATGAAAGACTTTTTGGGATGGAGGGAGTAGAAGTAATTGAGACGGCCTTTTAATAATTTTTTGGTAGGTCAAACCAACATTGATACCTACTCATGGAAAAGAATTCCAATGAAGGATCCGACTCGGAAGGCCGGACCAAATAAGTATGATACTCCGTATTAATGTCAGTATATAGAGCTTAAAAATACAAAAAACTTACTCCCTCCGTTCTAAAAAATACTTCCTCTTTCATTTTTTCCATTTTCAACAAAACACTTCCTCTTTATATCAAAAAACCACTTTTATCCTTACTTTTTCATACCCTACCTATCACATCATACTTTTTCTCTAATAATCTATCCATCACATCTTACTTTTACCCATCATATCAGGGGCAAAATTGGAAATCAACTACTCCCTCCGTCCCATAAAACATTTCCTGTTTCAAAAATGGCGCGCCTTTAAAATGAGTAATTTTGGTATTATTTTCTAATTTTGCCTTTACTTTATAAAAGAGTAGGATGAGATGTGTAGAATAGATTAATCATAATTAGAAAATAGCACCAAAATTACTCATTTTAAAAGCGCGCCATTTTTTGAAACGGGAAATGTTTCATGGGACGGAGGGAGTATAATTTAACACTTCCTTATTTTTGCCCCAAATCAAAATGGAAAATCTTTTTGCAAACGAAGGGAGTATGTACTAATATGTATCCTCAAGAAAAAAATCTAGAGCTTAAACCTAGAGTAAAAAAATCTCTCTTTTGATTGGATTACCTTTGGTTCGAAATCCTCAAGAAATGTAGAATTGATGAAGAACTAATTAATAACACAAGCGACAAACGATTAATCATTCATCACTTTTGTCGTGTGCTTAATCAACTTGACCTCTCTCTATATCCACCCCACCACTTTATTTTATTTTTTTACCCCTTTATTATGTGACGTCGTGTTTATGTGTGTCCTTATAAAGGAAAGAGTCTCATGACACTTAACTTCTTTGAGAATGCTACGTATACCCAATTTTTCTTACTGTTTTAGTCTCATTTAAATAATTTAGGAGGTTAGAGGAAACTTATTTTTGAATGAACTAATTAATCCATCAATTCTACTCCCTCCGTTCCTAAAAACATGGGATGTATTGATTTTTAAAAGATTTAATGAGTTTATATTTTAGTGTTGAATTTCGCCAAATGTTCTTGGATGTGATGTGTAAAAGTAAAATTTGATGGGTAGATTAATAGTGAATAGATGTAATGTGATTTGTGGGTTAAGGATTAGTATGGGTATAAATGACTATTTAATAGAAATGGGAAGAGTTTGTTGGGAGGGATGAAAAAAGAAAGAAAAAGATTTTTTGAGACGGATGAAGTATATTACTCCTTCCGTCCCAAATTATTTGCCACATTTGTATTTTCGAGACAAAATATCAAGTTTTTTCAATTCATTTTATTTACATATTGGTAAAGAAATAAAAAATAAAATTTACATATAAAAAAACTACATGAAAAGTTCTTCGAAATAAGAGGTGTCAAGAATATTTTATTTTATCAAATAATCAATAAAAACGTCGAAATAAACAAAAGTTCCTGACACTGCTGAAAAAGCAAATGTTGTGAATATTTAGGGACGGATGGAGTAATTATCTATAAGCAATTTGTAGACATAAAGTATGTCTATAATTCATTGTAGAAAATAATAAAAAGAGAAGATATTTCTTTATCGAATTATTATCTTCTAAATTACAAAAACTCAACCCTCTTTGCATAAAAAGAGAAAGAGTAAATAAGTAAAATTTTATTCGTACCGTAATTCCCTTTTTGCTATAATAAGAATTACTTCCTCTGTCCCAAAAAGATTTACACCTTTCAAAAAAATTGTGTCCCACAATCTCCTACCCATTTCTATTAAAAAACTACTTTTACCCCTTACTTTTTCAAACCCTACCTATCACATCATACCTTTTTTCTAATAATCTACACATCACATCCTACTTTTACTCATCACATCAAGGCTATTTTTGGAAAGTCAACATAAAATTATTTCTCCCTTAATTTTAACTTTAGACAAAATGTGTAAATCTTTTTGGGACGGAGGTAGTATATCATACTAAGAAAGTCACAAAGTGAATCTCAAAGGGTTTCAGTTTCATTCTTTTAATTTGTCAAGATCTCAAAAGAACATTCATTCATTTTTGAGTGTTAAAAAAATCATAATAGACAATATATATATAAATACTTTCTTTACTTTCTTTATATGAGATGGAGTGAGTATTTTTTATGGAGTAAAAAATGAGACAACAATTTTGAAACATGCCTGTCTAGTACTCCAAACATGCATCTTTAGAGAGAGTACTATATATACTGCACACTTTGTAAGTAAGAAGAAAAATAAAGAAAGTATTTATATATATATTGAAAATGGGTGGAAGTGAAGATGAAGGTCGTCAAGGATGGACCAAAATGAGGACAGTCCTCCTCCTATTCAACGCCGTCTTACTAGCCGTCGGCAACTGCGGCAACCCTCTCCTCACGCGCCTCTACTTCCTCCGCGGCGGCAAACGCGTCTGGTTCTCCACGTGGCAGCAAACCGCCGCGTGGCCTGTCATCTGCGTCCCCCTCGCCGCCTCCTACCTCCACCGCCGCCGCCGCCAGAACGCCGAGGTCTTCCTCATCACCCCGTTCCTCGTGGCGTCCGCGGCGGCGGCGGGCCTCCTGATGGGCCTCAACAACTACCTCTACACCTACGGCGTGGCCAAGCTCCCGGTCTCCACGTCATCCCTCATCCTCAGCTCCCAGCTCGCGTTCACCGCGGTGTTCGCCTACTTCCTCGTGAGGCAGAAGTTCACCCCCTTCACTGTGAACGCGGTGGTCCTCCTCACCCTGGCGGCGGTGGTTCTCGGGGCTAGGGCCGGGAACGACCGCCCCAAGGGGGAGTCGAACAAGGACTATGCCTTGGGGTTTTTGTTGACCGTAGGGTCGGCGGCTTTGTATGGACTTCTCATGCCGGTGATTGAGTTGAGTTACAATAAGGGCAAAACGGGAATGATTGAGTATGGTTTGGTGTTGGAGTTTCAAATGGTCATGTCTCTTGTTGCAACTCTTTTCTGCACGGTTGGAATGCTCATTAATCACGACTTTCAGGTTAGCTACCGTTTGAGTTGTCATCTGTGTTGTCAACCGTTTGAGTTGTCATCTGTGTTGTCAACCGTGGCATGCATGAGTCTATTATTATTGGTTGCATGCAGGTACTTTCAAGGGAGGCAAGAGAGTTTGAATTGGGGATAACAAACTACTACTTGACAGTAGTGGGAAACGGTTTATTTTCGCAATTCTTCTTCGTGGGGGCCCTTGGGGTGACGTCATACGGCTCTTCTTTGCTCTCAGTCCTCATCGTCGCCGTCCTCCTACCGGCCACCGAGCTTCTGGCGGTGATTTTTTACCACGAGAAGTTCGCGGCCGAGAAGGGAATCTCTCTCTTCCTCTCCCTCTGGGGATTCATTTCTTACTTTTACGGCGAGGTGAAAAGCAACCGCGAAAATAAGGAGAAAAAGAGGATAATGAAAGAGCTGCAGGAGACGGAGATGATGGGGTCGCCGTCAACTAACGCCGTCAGCTCGCCACCGCAGGTGGGAGTGTGAGATCCAGAAGACGATCGATCGCTGCAGCCGTTACGCAACACAACTCCGTCAACCAATGGGTTTTCACCCTCATTTTCACTATTGTGACGTTTTGGCACGTACGGCCCCTTTCAAAATTGACATGAATGCATTTTATCTTTTCCTAAATAATTAGAAATCCCAGTTACAATTTCAATGTCAGCTCTATTTTGTACGGAGTACAACTTTTTGATGTATTTTTAAATATGTAAATTTAATTTTATCAGTTTTATTTGTATTGCCCTATACTATTTTTTTTAATATAGAGCTGTAAATTTAATTTTATCAGCTCTATATTTTTTAATTTTATCAGTATTTTGTAAAACCCAATTAAGTTCCAATACAATCAAACGCCTCTTTTAAGTATATATACTCCATCCTGTTACTTCTTGACAAAAACAAAGAGTAAAGTTTATAATGAATGTTGTCATTTATAATAGGGTAATTTACCTAAATAGGACTAAAACATAATGACTTTCACAATATAAGACCATATGTTTTTATTTCCCAATGTAGGACCATTATATATTAGTCATTATGCAACTAAATGTCTAGTACCACTTGGACATTATTATTCTCATTGGTCTTTATTAAGTCCTATTTAGAGAATAGAAAAGTTCAATTCCTATATTGGGAAATGACTTAGGTTTTAGTCCTAACTCCTATTCACTGCAAATTTCACTTTATAATATTAGATTTCCCATATTTAGTCTTCTAGCTAGTGTCATATATTATGTTTCTGATCCTTCTTTGATGAGTATTTTTTGATAGATAGTCTTTTTTTAATATTCTATCATGCTGGTGTTAAATTAAAGGCTAAAAATATAATTTCACATGGATGTTATTCCAATGACATATTCTGGTGCAGTTTGAGTGGCAACGACACAACAATAATCACAATAACTCTGAACTAGAATTTCGACAAGAGACAATATTTGTAGACCATGATTGCAGTAAATAGCTAATCACAATCAGCGTCGAATGCCTGTAAAAATGACATTAAAGGTTTAGGTTCAAATATTGGGGTCAAAATCCGATTTTCCTTATTAAAATTTTGAGTAATTACTTCTTTTTCACTTTCAATCACTTCATGGGATTAATCATGCATTGGATCGAATGATTACTACTCCGTATAAATATAATTAAAAAAGGTGCGTGGGTCCATTATATATAATTGCTTTATTATTTACTCCATGTGATTATACGACATGCAAAAGCTAGCAAAGGCAATCATAGAATTTATAAGCATGGATCATGCATATATGGATCATGCACGTTATGTATGTAGGCCCGCATATGTGGTAGTCATAGGCTCTCTTTGGGAATAGCAATAAAAATTAGCGTCAGCGTTTTAAAAAGGCTATTTACGGGCAGTGTTTAGCGTTAGTATTTTGAAAGTAATTTGTATCGTTAAAATTTTATCCAAAACGCTAACGCTAATCTTTAACGCTATTTCCAAACAAGCTCATAATGTAGTATGTAGAGGGAGCCAATAATGTTGGTTGGTGGCTAAAGTTTTACTCAGGAATAAAGTTTAATCATGAACATGATTAACCTCATGAGGTCATAGGTAAAGCAATAATCCTACACCACTTCTTTACCAAGTGTTTATTTTCCGTCTCTGATTTTTATTTATTTCGATTTTTCTAAACAATACTTTTAAATTTTGACCATGATATGTGAAATAATCATTGCGTTATGACACTCCCACCATTTCACAGAACAATTCCATTTTCATTTTTCACTCTATCTAAAAAACATTTTCACTTCCGATTTCTTTTTTTTTAAAAATTACTTGGGGAGGAAGGGGTATGATGTGATGTGAAAAAAACTCATTATCATGGCATACATGTAATTAATCAAACAGTCTCTATATATCTTAAATGATTGAAAACAGGTGTTTGAACGACGCTTATTATCTACTCCCTCCGAACTCTTTTTCATTTTTTTACAATTTCCTAAAACATTTTCACTTTCTATTAAAAACTTACTTTTACCCTTCCTTTTTCATACCTTACCTATCACATCATATTTTTTTACTACTAACCAAACTATCACATCTTATTTTTACCTATCACATTAGAGGCAAAATTAGAAAGTCAACTAAAATTACACTTTTCTTATTTTGACTCAAAGTCTAAATGAGAAAGGTTTAAATGAACGGAGGAAGTACAACATGATGTGGTGAAGCAGTCATTGTATACTACACAAAACGTGTCTGATTTAGTGTTGATGAAAAGGAATAGAGAAGTGGTGGTTAAATCGAATTTGTTTACCTCAAAGAAAAAAGAAAAAGACGGTTTTGATAATTAAATTGAAAACAAATCCAGACATGATACCGAAAATGAGAGACGTGATTCGTCAGTTAGATTGAAGCCGTCCAAAAAATATGTTTATGTTTGGAACTTGCAAGCCATAACTTATCCACTTTTATTTACCTTTACTTTTATTAAGTACTCCGTATTTGATAAAATAACTTTAAAATAATAATATTCTCTTCTTTCATACGAACAGTATAAAGTTTATTTTTATTTCTATGCCAATTTTAGAATACATTGATCAAAAAATAACTTAACTCGACAACAACACCAATATAATATCTACGGAGTATAATTCTAGAAAACAAGATAACATTATAATATCTTTAAAAAACACATATAAAAGATTAAGTAATACACTAAAAAAAGGAGTGTTAAGAAAAGAAAAATATTATGACACTATTTTGTACTCCCTCCGTCTCAAATTAAATCACCTATTTACTATTCACAGAATCAAACTTCATTCACTTTCTTTTTCTATTTTCGTTAGTCATTTGATAAAATAATATTCCGTATAATAATGTCACAACTAGTTTCGATGATCTTTTAATTTAATTTTTAAATATATAATTTTTATTTTTCAATTCTACACCTTATTTCGTATAAAATGATTTAAAAAAATAATTTCAGTCAAACATTGTAAACTGAAATAGGCAATTCAAATTACGACGGAGGAAGTATCACATAATTTTGGAGTGGGGATGGCAATTCAACCCGAACCCGAGCTTAACCGACCCGAAAATTTTTACCCGAACCCGATATAGGGTCGGGTCGGATTTGGATATATAAATGTAACCGATCCGACCCGTACCCGACCCGAACCGAACCCGAGAGTTTAAAACACTAAAATTTAAAAATTAAAAGTTAAAACCCTAAGGCCTAAAGATTAAGAACTAAAGTACAGAGACGACTCTACTACTCTAGTCTAAATTAGTGACGACGCTTCAGTGACCCACTGTCCCCACTGTCCAGCGTCTCCTTCGAAGTTCCTGACGAGTGACGACAACAGCAGCGGCACAGCGCCTGCCAATTCCAGCGGCGTCGCCGGCCCGCCAGCGCCTTCAAACTCCAGCGGCCAGCCTTCTCCTCTCTTGCCATCTTCCTTCCGAGTTTCAATTTGCAGGTATGTATTCAACCAATTCACCAAATAATTAGATTTAATAATTTCGGGTTTCGGGTTCAGGTTTCGGGTATTCAATCGGGTTCGGGTTTCGGATTTCAATATCGGGTTCGGGTTCGGGTGAAAAATAAAACCCGCCTATTCGGGTACGGGCAAAAAAATATACCCGACTTTTTTTTCGGGTAGGGTTCGAGTATTGAAGTATCCGATCCGAACCCGACCCGTTGCCATCCCTATTTTGGAGTACTAAAAAGTACTAAAATACGGAGTACATAATTTCGAAACAAAAGAAAAAGACTTGACTTAGCTAGTCCATCAGATTTGACCCATTTTTAGCAACTCTTTTCAAGTTCAGTCAACAAAACCTTTGTACAAAATCATATGTTTGAATTTGATATCGGGTCAAAAACAAACCGGGTTAATTTTTACAAGTCTAACGTGGCAATGCTTTTGGGAGTGGTTATAGTTATCTTGCTTTTGAGTCGAGGAAGGACCAAGAAGTTGGTCATGTCTATTTGAAGAAGTGGCGTTTTCAGTTTAAAGAGCACACCATCCCAAGGAGAATTAAACATATGAACCATTGCACAATCGAGACATCGTTGACGCTACAAACAAAAGGTATGTGAAAACCATCTTAAGAACAAAGTCATATAACACGCTCGGACAAGTAAACGTTCTAGTCCATTGAATGCAATGAAAAACATGTCTTACTCTCATAACAATGAGTGTCTATGAGCCAAAAAAAGGTGATGTTAAGGCTGGTGTGTGGTAATACATCATTTGTTTTTCTACATTTTAAGTAACCTAGCTGGTAGAAGAGCTGGTGTAAATGAGGGGGTCCCTTTTTTTCCTCTCTTTTTTACATTCTTAGCTGGTAGCTAGTATAGTATTTTACATATTATTACCAGTTAATTTTACACCTATGTAAAGGTCAACACAGTTTTAGAAAATAACAATCACAAGATAGCCAAACGGTAATCAATGCACCAATGCGTATAAACTTAACTTATACGGAGTATATGAAAGTTGTACCTCTCGTCATCTATATTCTTTCCCACCAAACGACAGAACACAAAAGCTTAGAGAGGATTGAGCTGCAGATCAGGGAGGCAAAAAAATGCAGTGGGTGGCGAGTTGTCTTCTTCTCGTCTTTTTGATTCACTCGTTAAAGGGTCACAATGTGTAGCAGATTAGCAGCAGAAGAAACAAGAACACAAGTGAGAACTCTACTGCATGCTTCTCCAGCACCTGAATCCACCTGTAAGTTCAACCAGTACACAGCTGCTGATCAAGCCTGTCAAATACACCATTTAAAGAATGCTTGCCACATTCAGAATGGCTTAAAACTTGTTTACTGTGGGCCCTACCACACCTTATGCAGCAATGAAAGTCAAAGGGCTCTCTCCAAACTTTCAAAAAATATACTACGTATGTATGGAGTGAACAATTGATCCGGACATAGGGAATATGTGCTTGGATTATTTAGCTCTAATCAATAAATTTATTAAGCTTTAGCTTCTTCTATCAACCCCCCACCCCTCCCCCACCCACATATTATCCCTTCTTATTTACCTCCATCTTCATTTCCCCCATTTTTTCCCAAGCATTTTCTGGGTTCTAAAGGGGACCCTTATATAGTTATTCAAAATCTAATGTTCTACGCAATATGTTACTCCTTGTATTGACATATGAGGCCTTCAATGCAACATTCTAACCATTTGAAAAAGTGAAAGATGTGTGGTTAGAATATGTTTTGAAGAGAGAAAAATGTATGAAACCACGTTCTTTCCCTAAAAAGGAAACGAGAAAAGTGTAAAGCTTATTTTGTAAAGCTTATTTTGGGATAGATGAAAAAAGAAGATATAAACTTCATTACAAGATAGTGATGTGAAAATCAATACTATGTATTATAATTGCATTATTAAAATATAACTACATTTAAAACTGTATTTGATAATATTAGATTCACAATATAACTATGTATTTTTATTGCAAATCGTTGTCAACTTTCATTTACTTTTACCACAAAAGCCAAAATATGAACATGCTGAAAGTTGGACAGGACGGTGTGGAGTGAACCACATAATACAGAGATTTAATGACTTAATAAACATACAGGACTCACCAATTTCCTTGTGAATACATGTTCTCTCCATGTATAATTTCCTCCTTGGCAAATTCTTCAAGTATTTCTCGTTGTTTATTATTCAATTCTCTGCACATAAAAATCACAATTTATAAGAACAGGTATGTCATATACTTCCCCAGTTCCACTATTTTTGTGGCACGAATATTAGGAATAGTAAGATTATGTGGTTGATAATGATGTTAAAAATTAAGATAAAGTAAGAATGAATGCGAACCACACAAATTTGACTAAATATGATACATGAGACAAAAATAGTGAAAGTGTGGAACACACAAAAAGTAAAAAAGGACAAAATAGTGAGTAGGAGTAAAATTTGCAAAAACCAAAAACAAGGTACGCATAAAGGTCTCCCTACATACTTGTATTGCATTCCTCATCCACGCCACATAATATATAACTAGAAATTTCAATCAGGATGCAAAATAATAATAATAATAATAATAATAATAATAATAATAATAATAATAATAATAACAATAATAATAACAACAACAAAAACAATAATAATAATAATAAGTAATACTAGAGATGATTTATAACACAATAACAGTAGGTATGCGAAAGAAGAAGAAAATTGTTAAGAGATTTACTTTGGAAACCTTATGCGGAATCTTACATACAGGTCTCCGTGGTCGACAATAAAGCCACTCCTCGGCAAACCTGATCAATAGATGGAACATGCTTATTCAGTGTGAAGTTAAAAACAAGGGTGAAAATGATGGTCTCAGACTTCAGGTAGTAAAAAAACAGAGTAAAAGATCATCATACCTTTGCCTCTGAGTACCAATAGCTGCCCAGGCTGGACGCCTTTTGGTATCTAAGCGGGCCAGAATGCAAAACAAGTTTAAAGTAACCTTTAGTAACCAGCAATTAGCAACAATAAACAGTAAACAAGATAAAATCATTGATCAATAGGCAAGAGTCATAAACAGATTGAATAGAGTAACAACCATAAACACACAATAAAAATAACTTTGGGAATTGGGATTGCATAAAAACACTCTTATTTGGAAAAAAACTAATGGGAACGATCAAAACAGGCTATAACATAGATGTTGAAAAGAGAGCTCTCCTCCATTGTTGAGTTTCAACTTTCAAGAATATCTATTTGTTAATAATTCTATAGTAAAGAATTTGATGAGAGGATTCAACATCTAAAAGAGGAATAAAAATGCTATGTGAGCCTGAAAAATGAAAACTAATCATTAATCACAAAACATTTTGTCTAATGAAAGAGCTTATAATGCATCAGTAAGATCAAGACTTATTTTTCAGTCTTTACAGCAGTTATGTCAAAACAACAGAAACTCTGGACTTTTTTCTTCAAGAATCATTATATCAAAGAGGATGTGTAACACACAGCTCCCTTCATAATTCATATGAAACCATAAAAAATGACACAACAATGGGAATTGTACAAACGGGCGCTGACAAATAGAAAGCCACACCTTCACTGATGTTGTCCCAGACAAAGTTGGTACGTCAACCTTGCCGCCTAGAATAGCCTGCCAAAACTCTAATGTGAGTTTAAGGGAATTGTCAATGAGCATTTATCCAATTATCCATATGGCATAGAAATTACTAAAGTATCAGATATATTAACTTATTACTTATTTCCATTCCCTGTGGAGCCAAAGATTCACTATTTTTTGGCTTTGGATTATGATGGAATAAAGCAAATTGGCTCTTTAAAATATCAACGCTTCTTGCAATTGTGAAGTAGCAGTTAGTCAATGCAACTTTCGACGATTATCATGGGTCATCTGGAACAGCCGCTCTATGTTTTAAACATTGGGGTCAACCTGCGTACATCCGACCCCCCTTTATCCCGCAATGGGCGAGAGCCGTTGAGGCACTGGGGTAATGTTGTTGTTGTATCAGATATATTGACTAAGATGGCCGTAGTCCATTCAATTATCTATGTTGATGTATCAATAGGTGAACTCTTCTAGTCAGAGGCATGGTATTTAGCAAAGTGATCAAACCCTACCTCAGCTATAAATGGACGTGGAAGAGTTTAAGGGTTGATATTTACTTATCTGTCTATTCTCTTCCATAATCATTTAAAAATAGGATTTGCTTGGTTAGACAGACAAGTAATAGAAAATTTTAAATATATATATATACATACATGTGTGTGTGTGTGTGTAAAGCCAAGTGTACGACATCACTTGAGAAAATTATGTTACATCTTACTTGTGTAAAGCTGATATTAGCATCAATATAAATGTCAGCACCATCTCTATCAAAAACAGAATCTTCATCAACCTGAAAGAGGAGCACAAATTGTTTTGCAGCTGCACGAAAGAACCTTAGAAGGCAGAAACTATAAATAGGAAATAAGAAATGAAATTGTTCATGGACCAATCAGAACTGAGTCAACAGACAAATGTGCTGTGAGATTACGGTGGTCGCATAAAAATGGGCGAATGGCCAGAAGCCACGAGATATAGTGACTATGGCAATACCCATAACGCATAGGCTGGTTCTTCATGGCACAATGAGTAGGGCCTCTTAAAATTGAAAACCAAAAGCCACGAGATACAGAGTTTATGGCAATGCCCATAGGCTTTTTGTGATAGAGTAAGTTGGCCAAATAAATTAATTAAAAATTCAAACAGATATTAAAAGTAAGAAAACCGCAACGTAGAAACCAAAATACTACTAAATAAAGAGACCAAATTCAAGAGAGTTCATGCCTTTAGCTTTATGAATAGGTTGCCTGGCTGCATCCCTCGCCTCCCAGCGTGCCCAGCTCTTTGTACACGGATAGTATCACCAGAATCCATGCCTATTCCATTTTATTTAATTTAGGGGGTGCAGACATGATGAGTATATATTTGCTAATACTACAAAGGCATGCACATACCAAAGAAAAAACTTACAGCCCATTAAGCCTATGTTTGGGAAACAGCATTTTTCTCAGCATTATGCTGTTTTACATCATTTTATCCCAAAACAGCATCTGTGACTGGTCAAAATGCTATTTGAGGTGTTTGTCGGAACTTTTTAATTAAACAATATGTTGAACAAGATGTTGATTGGAAAATGCCATAAGATCAGCTTTTTTTTAAACGAATCATTTTGTTATTAGTATTTAGGTTCAATTTTTAGGCATTCTATTAAGCTGCCAAACATCTTTTTTTAACATATTGCTAATTGCTAGTCAAAAATGCTTATTCAATGTGGCAACTGTTATCTGTTATTCGCTAAATGCTAACTGCTATCTATCATTTTCCACGCACCCTAAGAGATAAAACTCATGATTTTGTTCAAATGCCAGAGCACTTCCCTTCTGCTAAAGTTCAGTTTGAACTCAGAAAATTCAAACTTCATATTCATCCTGTCTTTGCGATACTGCATGTGTGCACATATGTATAGGCATGAATGTATGTATAAATGATTGAACATGCCAGCATATATGTAACATATTCAAGAAAAATAAGGAAAACACAGATCAATGAGTAAACTATTCCATTTTCTAATCTACTCCGACATTTGTTTGTACTTTCTATGTCCCGCTGGGATTTTCCAAATTTTTCTTTTCTGTCCAAACTTGTTAAACTTTGACTGAAGGTTTTTCTCTTTAGTTTGCATATTGTAGTGTAATTCAAAAAAAATTGTAATTTTGTGAAAGAGAGTTTAACAAAGAACATTTCATACGGAGTATTACTTTATATATTATAAATAATTTTTAATAAAAGTATATTAGTGGTCAAAGTTTAAATGAATTGACTGAAGAGGTCAAGACTGGAAAGTTCTAGCAAAATGGGGGGGGGGGTGGATTTTTCTTTTATTTAGCCAAGCAGCTCGGGTTCCAATGAATTTGTCAAATATGAAAAGGTCAGGTCAAACAATCAGTAATCCTTTTTTGCATAAAGAATGCTAACATATTACCTAATGTGTTTCACTAAACTGAAAATCATGGCATAACTATCTTTGACGAGACATATATTTTCACTGAGAAAAAGATGATTCGATGGCAACCTGGCGGTATGGTTACTTTGACATCTTTAACGCCTCCAACAACTCCTGATCCTTTACATTCCCTACAACTTTCCTAAACCCCCAGAGAATAATAAATATATGTTCATGTCCTGTTGGACAAATAAAATGTTTGCGCGTAAAATGCATACCTTAATAATTCTTCCAGATCCTTTACAATTACTGCATGTAGCAGTAAACGGAGGTATAGTGACCTGATGGGCATAGCAATAAGTTACAAAAAATGAGACAAATGGAAAAGGGAATTTTGAAATGCCCAACCAATTGCAAATCAAACTCCACCAAAGTATACCCCATACAAACTTGAACCTTACCCGCCCAAGGCCTTCACATGTTGGACAGACTCTTGTCTTTGCATTTGGTGGGTAGCCATGCCCGCCTGCATGAGGATGAAGGACAAGAAAATAAGAAATGACAATCCTACTCAGCAACAAACCCACTCAGCAATAGAAAAGATATCTCAGCACAGAGTGTAGTCCATCAAGTTCAAGTGACTATCACTTTCAAAAATTAGAATAATGGACCCTCCCAAGTACTCCCCACAATAAGTACTGAATGAAAATTGTGGACTAATGGCATACTCCGTATTCAAATTTAAAAATGCCTTCTGTGTGTATGGTTGTAGTGAAATATAAGACATAAAGAAGCAGATAAAATCTACTCACTACAGATATCACAGGGAACATCTGCATCAAATGACAAATGCTTTGTGCATCCTTTAGCTGCTTCAGAAAAAGATAGAGAAAGCTCCACCTTCACATTCAACAGTCAGTCATACATGCAAAAGTTAGACTGGCAGGCTGATGGTAAAAGAATATTAACTGAGTAAGAAGAAGCATAAAAACCTGAAAATCATCTGAGAAAGTTTCTGTCTCGTTTTCAAATATCTAAACATGTTTAAAATACAGTATGTTTAGAAATATACTAGACGTCTGAATACAGCATACCAGTGAAAATTTAAACAATTTGGCAAAAAAAAAACCTCAGAAAATATTTTCTGGAAAGAATGAGAGAAATCATTGAAGTTTGCTTTGTATCTAAATCCTTCAGCACTCCCATTACCAAAGTTTGAATATTCAGTTTTTCTGGGTTGTTCCTTCATCTGTCATAAAGTGAATTCTATTAGTTGCATATATGATTCAATTATACTCCACGGAATAAATCATTTGTTGAAAGAGATAAATTACCATGTCATATTGTTTTCTCTTGACAGGATCTCGCAGAATCTGAAATCACCTTCCAAAATGGTAATGAAAAATAAATAAACATTTTTGAATTATAGTAATATAAGCTTACCCTAACACATTGCATGAAAAGAAAAAAAATACAAACCTCATATGCATCTCTTATTTCTTGAAACTTCCTCTTTGCAGAAGGATTATTCTTATTGGCATCTGGGTGGAACTGTTTTGCTAGCTGCAAAATGTTTAGCAGTAAACTGTTATGGACACATTTGTGGGCTGATTCTACTCGCGCCACAAGAAGAGGGATTGTGTATCAGGCCAAGCCTATTGCAGTCCTTCCCAAGTTATCTGCTTAGTTTCTTTTATTAGTATTTCTATTTAGCCAAACTTTTATTTAGTACATGTTGCAAAAGTTTAGATCTCTATTTCATTTCATGATAGGGACTCGTGTTTTTTTGCCTATAGAAGGCTTATCAGTTGAGAACTTGAGATAATAAATCATCTTTGGAAATAATGTTGGCCTTGAATGCCAAACCTCATAAAGTTTTGATGTGTCAAATAAGTCTTCCAAATTACTAACGCCTTTTGCAGGAAAAAATCAAATGCCAAAACCTCACCTAACTTGCTTCGCCTCAACAAGAAGGTCCCTCAAACTAGCATAGGTAGATAATTGTTAAGGGTTTGATATTTATGATATAATTATGTGCCCTTACACTCACATGATTTATTAAAACCTTTTTATATCGCTCTTAAATAGGGTTATTTTGAAAAAGGAATGAAAAATCAGTTTTTGAGTTAGAAAAACAACAGGCAACCAGTACCTCCCTACCGTGCGAACGGTACCTTAATACCGTCAAGGTACCATGGTACCGGACCAGGCACTAGAAGGCAAGGTACGCCATCGGGGTTTCCTTCTGTGGCGGTAGCCACTACCGCTGGGACGGTATCCTGATACCCGAACGGCATCTCAGTACCGGGACATGTACCGGAAGGTGCAGCGAATGCCAAAGGATATCTCATTGTGGTGGTACCCCCTACCGTTGAGGCGGTACCACCGTACCGGAACAGGTACCTTAACCGTTGCAGATCTTTTGTGCATCAAAAGCAAAGGTCATGCAATAACAGACTCACGATCAGGGACTATGATGGAGACTGTGGTGACTAAAAGAGATACCAATATTACTATTATGGTGCATTCAGACAGTACTCACAATTGTATGCATCAATAATGGGCAGATGGCATCAGGTTTAACTCTTTCAATATCAACAAGGCCAGAATTTGCTTGTCCCGCCTAATAAGCCTGAATTATTAGTGTCAAAGATGACTCATTGTCCCAACTAATAAGCCTATATTCCTTTAATAGTGACCTCATTAAAATTTTGGGTTGCATCCATTGGCTTGGATTTAAGGTCCCCTGCATCCACTTCTAGATTTTTACTTGCTACTGAATTCCATTACTCAGCTTGGAACAATCAGCACTTGACAGATTCAGACTTCAGCTTTGCTGTCGTCATAGAATATTATTCTCCAAAGATGGTTTATTTTTTCCACATAAAAAGAATACGAGTCCAAATATAAAAGAAAAGATAGATCTAGATCATTACAGCATGCATAAAATAAAGATTTAACCAGATAGGAATAATAATAACAATAAGAGGTAAAGTGAAACAAGCAGGTAACATAAACAGCAGTTCATGAGGCTTGGACTGATCCTCAACCATAATTACTGACCAAATGAAAAGCCTTTTTAATTTCTTCTCTGCTGGCATCTTTCGAGACACCTAAAAGGTCATAATAATCTTTTTCCATGGAATGACAAACTCCTGGTACGTGAAATTAAACACATTAATCCTAACAGCACTCGCAAACAAACTAATCCACAAGATAACTGCATAAACCCCAGAAGACTGTCTGACTACATTTTATCTACGAGGAAAAGTCATTTCACATGTGATAGGAACCTGTAGAGTGGATAAAATGCCTTGATGATGGGCATTCACCAGTTGCAAAACGTGCTTCGATGCCAATAACATTGGAAGTATACAAAGCTGGCATATGAAAAATTCCTCAGTTTTTGAGTGGATGTTACATATCGTGAGCAAAATCAATACGAATAAAACACACACATTTCGATACTGGAAGATCGTTTCACAAGAGAAACGTACATCTACTATGTAGCAATGCTGGTTGAAATTGCGTTATAGCGCAGCTCCATTTTCTGTTTCCAGCTGCTGGTTCAGCAACAACTCTCTGCCCAGACTGCAAAGCAGATAGGGTGAGTAGTCAAAAAAACTATATCCGCAAACATTCAATCCAAGATCAACATCAATGAATTTCAGCTTGAAGTACCAAAATACTCTGAAGGAATGCTCTGGACGGAAGCCGAAACCAGTTTAATCTGCCCATTTCGGGCTCGAAACTAATTTGAGCGCCACAAAATGAAATCCTGAATGTAATCAGACGCTGTGGAGAGGATTAGGGTTTTGCGCGGCACGTTATCCGCCTTCTCCCAGCTGCTCCACTGCTAGGCATTGCGAGAACGGTTTGCGGACTGAAAATTTCAAATTGCCCCGACGCAATTTTCCAATTTTTAATTGAAAAAAAATGGTGCATAATTACAGATAATTTTACATATTTATTTCTCAATTAATAGATATTCTATAAATGTTCTTTAGTTTTTGTAAAATTATTTCATAACCAATCTTTTAATGACTATTTGTGAGAAAAAAAAATTTTCATACATAATCTAAAAGACTATTTGTAAAATAATTTTTTTAAAATTGAAGATCATTTATAAAAAAATCTAAAAATCGAGGATTAAATATGAAAAAATTACTCAATCTTTTATAAAATTTATTCAAAAAGAATTCAAAATGTTAGAAACTATCACAAGGTTCCGGCCATCACAAATGGTTTATTCGTATACATACTATAATCGTCTCTAAACAAAATTGATTATCGTTTAATTTTTTATTCTTTTTATTTTAATTCTAATTTAATTTTTTTTTTGTGTATCGCTTTACCTTTACATACGGTGAATGTATGTGTGATTTTTCGTACTTCACACCCCGTAAAAAAGAAGCTAAGAAAAACTAGGGTACGGGGGGTAAAAGAACAACACCACAAAACCCCAAATCACAAGCAAATCTACACTCCGTACATCGAGAGTAAAACTACGTTCTCCGATTTCTAGGGTTTCCTCCGCTCGCATCAACACCAATAGCCTGAATCCATTCACTGATTTTCGCTGGCTCTCAGATTCGGGTGGGACTCGGCTTCATAGGTTGGTCTCCGTCATCTCTGTGTTGATGTTATACTTTGGTTCGGCGAAGAATGTCAAGAGTTTGTGCTTTGTTGGGAATGATTATGCATGAGAAAATATGTGAATTTGGGTTTTCTCAATGCACCGGATTTGATTTGGGTTTTTAGGGGTTTTGTAGAACGTTGTTGGTGGGTCGATCGGTGATTGATGAGGAGGAAGAGGAAAGGTAGTGAGATTTTGTGCTCAAAGCAGAATGGGATTCTGAGCTCGACCAATGGTTCTGAGACGTCGTCTATATCAAATTTCAAGTCTCATTATTCGTTGGAAGATTACTCTAGGTTGAGGAAGAAGTGTAAGGAGGATGACTATTATGATGGGCTGTGCTGTGAGGCTGTTAGGTCATGTAAAAGTAAGGCCAGGCTGGCTGGCATTGCTGCCACTGCTCCGCCATGTGGGACTTCTTCATCTGTTTCATCTGGGCGGGGTATTAAGAGGAAGATTGGATGCATAGATGTGGCAAACCAAATGGGTCAGAAGAGGAATATCAATGAAGACTATGTACTGGGAGAAACAATTGGGAGAGGGAAATTCGGATCTGTTCTGCTGTGTAGAAGCAAGGTCACTGGTGTTGAGTTTGCATGTAAGACTCTGCTGAAAGGGGAAGAAACTGTGCATCGGGAAGTTGAGATTATGCAACACTTATCAGGGCATCACGGTGTGGTAATGCTAGAGGCGGTGTACGAAGAAGAGGATAGGTTTCATTTGGTGATGGAGCTGTGTGGAGGTGGGAGGTTGATTGACGACATGGCAAAGGTGGGGCCATACTCTGAGCAACAGGCTGCAAACATATTTAAGGACTTGATGATGGTGGTCAAGTATTGCCATGACATGGGAGTTGTACATCGTGATATCAAGCCTGAAAACATTCTTCTTACTACTTCTGGGAAGATAAAGCTTGCAGATTTTGGCTTGGCTATGAGGATTGCCAATGGTACATCCATTAAGGATTCTAATCTTATTCTTGTATGCATACATTATTTAATTTGTTTTCAATCATCAACAGCTCTATTTGGTCCGAGTGCTTTACTTGTCTGCATATATCCAGGGAGATACAGTTTATTTGAACTGCATTCTGAAGATGGTATAAAATTATCGATTCATGTTTTGAATACCTATACTTTGAATGTGTGTGTGTGATGGGTCGGGGTTTGGGGGCGGTGGCCGTGTGGGATGGAACACATCGAACTTGCTGTTGTCTCTTACTATCAGTGAACAATTCTATTATTGCAGTATGGGAAACTAGAAGCCTCTGCATTGCTGATCAGTGGTCAGCATCTTACTAGACCTTGCTCACCTATGTCAATGCTCCCATCGTCTTTCTTTACTCATGTTTCATTGCTGTTGGTGAGCATGGTACTAGGGTTCTGGAAATCTAGCACTATGATTGGAAAAAGAATAGGGTAAATGATGTATTGTTTTGTTTTTGCTCCCAGAGCTTACAAGTAAGGGTCATACTTGCTAGTACCTAACAAGTTCAATATGACTTCTGGTAATTGTCAGTGAGTTCTGGGAGGTTTTTAGTGTAGCATGTATCTATAATAAGTTATTTTATTTGATTCCCTTTTTTGTACATCTTTCCAAGCTGTTCAAGTAAATTAGAATATGAAGAAACCTGATCTCTATGAAGTGGTTGTTAGTTTTGATTGTTTTTTTTCTGTTTTAATGTCTAGTTGAAATATCATGTCCATAAAGTGAATGGGTTAATCCTCTCATTTTGAAAATACCAAACTTGCAATTTTGTTTTTTCATTCCTATGTAAACCTCCTGAGTTTTTCCTCCTGGTCATCTGCTGAACTTCAAGTACTGCTCGGTGTTCTAAAAATTGGGTTACGCAAAACTAAGCACCTATTTAGAATAATTTCTTTTAACAATATCTTATTAAATAATACAAAAATAGTACTGATAATATAATATGTAGTAATAATTATTATCAATTATCATTTAATAAACACATTACTACACCAAGAAGCTGCCAATGGGTAGCCTCTCTAGGCTCTCTTCTTTGGAAAAAAATGGAACACATGCTCTTTTTAGAACTTAAACTTGGTACCACTCACTATATCCTGTTTACTTCAAGTTTAGAACTAAGTTCTTCCTGTTGGTCTAAGGGTGCAACTATATCCATTTTTCATATGCATTATACATATATTGATCACACTGTGAAACTAAGTAATCTTTTGTAAATTTATTAAGGAATTATTGTATCCATCATATGAAATATGTGTGTGTGTGTTTCTTATTTTGGAAAAGAATGCTAAGAATCTGATGGGTTCCGCTTAGTCCCTGCCTACGCATCCTAGTTGCTTTGCTGGCCCACGATTCGGGTTTTCTTTTTGGTGAAGTTATCAGACTGTTTTCTGTATCAAAAAGGAACACGGTTTTCCATGTTTTCCTTTTTGGGTTGTATACAATGATCCATACTTGAATCATGGCTAGTAAACTGTATGCATTGCCTTCTACCAATATTGTTTGTCTCAACACGACAACAATGTCCGCATATTTGAATCAATTTTAGTAGACATATGTATACAATTCTTCTACAGATTGATTCCATTACGTTGCATTATACCTTACCAAACATTGCCTTAGGGCTCATATTGTTCCCCCTTTAGCTAAACTTGAAATGATTTCACAAAAAGAAGCTTTATTGCAGTAACAAAAAAACCTCAGCAGTCACACAAAAATTCAAAACGGAACGCCCTTGGATGGTAGGAAAATGTTTGGGATTATATAGTGTGAGCCAAATTTGTTGTGTTTTGACTCTTGTTTTTAAAAAATAGGCCAGAGATTAACAGGTGTGGCTGGAAGCCCTGCTTATGTGGCACCGGAAGTTCTTTGTGGGGATTACTCTGAGAAAGTGGATGTTTGGAGTGCCGGTGTTCTCTTGCATGCACTCCTCAGTGGACTTCTTCCATTTCAAGGCGACTCTTTGGAAACCGTTTTTGAGGCAATTAAGAATTCAAAGCTTGATTTCAACACAGAACAATGGCAATCTGTATCTAAACCTGCACGGGACCTCCTTGAGCGTGTTCTCACAAGGGATGCTACTGCAAGAATCACTCCAGATGAAGTGCTAAGTATGTTCTGTTTTGCTTATTAAAATTTGTAGCCATTTTGGTGACAGTTATTTGACTGAAATGGTATGGCAGAAATATTCGCGAAAGAAAATGTTTAGTGAATTTGATTTCATCCCAGCCAACAAAGTTTGGGATGGTTTTTGAAAAATTCAAAAAGTACTTTTTTCAATATGTCAAAAGCAATATGGTGTGCTTTTATTGAAATAAAACTAGTTTATCTGAATTCGAAACCTTTAGTTTTTACTCGCATTTATATGATTGTAAACCCACTTTCCTCAACAGAAAAGCACCAAACTGTCACTTTTTTGTAAGTCAACCCAAACGGAACTACGTCTAAGGGCAAACTACTAATCCTGCTTATCCTGATTGTTGATTGACTGGTTCCAAGTATCTAGAAACTCATTTTTGAATGTTCATGCAGGTCATCCGTGGATTCTTTTCTACACGGAACGCACATTGAGGACATTGTCCAGTAAAACAAAGCCAAAACATCATCAGACTGGTCCACCAACTCAAACACCCACGACTACATCTTCACCAGAACGCAATGGAAATGTGACTGGGAATTGTCCCATTGGAAAAGATGGAGCTCCTGCCTCGTGGTCGGAGAGCTTCAATGGAGAATATGATGAAGAATCAGATGAATCTGGTTTGATTGATGCACTCTCAGTGGCAGTATCACATTGCCGGATATCTGAGCCTAAGAGGAGCAGGTTATGTGTCCGGCGCACCAGTCCGATTATTGAGGAGTGTTCTTCTAACTTGACTGCTAGTAACCTCTGCCAAGCATTTTGAGTCCAATTTGTTACTTACATATATCATCTTTAATTTACTTACCATGTCTCCAACAGACAAATAATAAATCTGTACATATATATACATATGTAAATAGTTGATCTGTAAGCAGATGACAGAATTTGTGCTGCTATTCCCTTGACTAATAATGTACGGAGTAATAAGTTACTGTCTGACATTTTTCTTCATGCCATTTTTTCAAATACATTTCCTGGTTGAATTGTGCTTTCATGATTTTAAGGTCTACACGTGAAATGTGGATCTTTTTATACTTTTAATGGGCCAACATTGGTTTTTTTATTTTTTCAAAGAGTCCAATTCATCTATGTTGCTTATATATTAAGGTCCATAAAGATCTTTGGACAACAAAAAATTTGCCTTTCAGGAACACCTCAGTTTACCCTCTTGTTAAGTTTTCTTCAAATTGTACTTGGGCTTGGTCACCTCGTTCACATTATTTGGGATGGTCCAGGTCACACATTCACAAGGCCCATGTTATTGTGCCGGGCCAGGCTTTAGTATAACTTTTTTGGAGTAGTAATAATTAGTTGTGTAAACTGTAAAGCCCGTCGAACTCGACCAGGCTTGGCCCATTTGGATTCTCTAGGTGTGACTTGTGAGGCCCAACGACTTCCCAAGGATTTTTAGAAAACTGATGCCTAGGCTATTTGGAAAGTGAAATTTACATTAGATAATACTCCGTACTAAATATATATATTTTTAGTACTTTGTAAATAGTAAACAAGAAGATAACTTTTAGAGGGAGAGTAATATTTCCTCTAAAAAGATTTTTTATTTTTTTCGACACGCCTCAAAATATCTCATCTTTTCTTTTTCGAAAAACTTTGAGTAGCTTACAATCATTCTCTCTTTTACATCTCTTCTAATTACAAATTTTCACTTATTCTTTGTGCCAAGTCAAACTAGGAGTCTATTTTTTAGGACGGAAGAGTATTTATTAAATTGATATTCAAAGTTCATCCCGTAAAAAATTAAACTGAACAGATACACTATGATATAAAAATAGCCACACACACTAGTGATTGTAGAGTATAATTTGCATGAAAGTAAGCCAGCCACATGTAGCTGAACTCCTTGAATCATTTGTGGACCCCTTGATGGTTCATCACCCCATAGGGCCCCACAAAACCCTGATTTGGTAAAGCATTCAAGGGGGCATTACTATTACACAAGAAATGCAAACAAAACTTGCAGACATGGCTGGGGTATTCTGGAGGGGGGCAGGCAGGTTCTTGCTGAATTGTTGCAGTCATATATTTGACTTTCTTGTGTTCACTATTTTGTTTGCAGCCCTTGGATAATTTGGTAAATTTGAAGTTACCTTTTTTTTAATTAAAAATAACTGAAAATACATTTTTACTTTAAGTAGTTTGCATTGCATAGTGCATTTCATCAATGATTTCACCAAGTGTCATGTCTATCATTAATTCATAAAGGAAAGACTCTTCAGCCCAAGAAATATTCAACTTTCACAAAGATCAACACTTTAACCAAGTCTTGAGGAAATGATGATAATAGCTAGTTGCATATGCATATACATAGTTTGGCTGGCAAATAAGGGCGCAAAAAGGGAAAATTAAATGTCCGAATTCGATACTTAACAACGATAATGAAGTGATCATATCTAACATGAAACTCTTACAAATAGCAGAATCGCTGGTAGGCGTTGCGCAGTTGGCAAGGCAAGAGGTACCAAGAGGGTAAGACCCGAATTCGATTCCGGACAATTGCGCTTGAAGCAACTATACTAAGCATAGGTATCAAATGCAGGCTTCACTCTTTGCTACCAATTTATGATTAAAGTTCAATATAACTCCTCTCAAGTTATCACCTCTTTTTCCTCAAACTAAGATTATGACTTAATTACTATCCCTGAGATATATGTGTAGTTGATCCAAGAGGGACTCTGGGGATAGGTTCATATCTTTTTGTTATGATAGCTAGCTAAATTAGCCTTGGCCTGCTTTTAATAAAGCAATGTAAACTTGTCCATTGTAAACCATAGTCCTACCTACATGCATCTTTTGGTCATAGAACAACATGAGTGTGTCTCCATAATAAAATGCATTTGTTTCTATTAGGATTAACAAACTACTTGTTTGGATTAACGTTTTGAATTAGCAATATGCTATCAAGTTACCAAATATTAATTTTTTGTTTAAAAAATTCACCAAAAATTTTGGATGGCGCTCATCCTTTACAAATTGACAGCGAGGGTTGCGCAGTTGACAAAGGCAGTGTGTGCCAAGGGTAGACTCGAGTTCGATTCCTGACAACTGCGCTGAGAGAGAACTATACTAAGCATAGGATTTTTGCAAGCACCAGGTGCATCCAACTAGTAGTATTTAATTAGTGCTATACTATGAACGTGTTACGTGTTGTTTGACAAATTAAAGAAGCCATAAACATGTGCCATTATTATCAAAGTGTTCAAAGATTAAGGCTCTGCTTTACATCTTTTCAGCCAGGTAAGTGATGGGGCATTATGACTACCCTAGAAATTTTGGAACCCTTCTTTCATAGATTCAATATCTTGATCACTCTTATTAGTATTTTTGTTTTTATGTACACTATTTCGGTATTATTGTCGTCGAGGATTGCGAAAAGAAATATTGATTATATTGAGACGAATGAAAAAGAAAATTGTTTTCATATGGAAGGTGATCCTTTCGTCCAAGTGTCTACCACGCTTAAAATATTGAGGGCCGCAACGAAGTATAATTGATATGATATTAAGTTCGGAAATCTAGTAGAAATGACACTGATTTATAAATTTGAAATGAAAACATTTTTACTCTGAAAAGACATGAAATGGTGGTCATAATTATTAGTGACAAACCTGGAGTAACAACTAGGGGTGGCCGGGGTTGGTGGGTCCCGACGGTCGAGAGATGCATCAAGACGCTCCATTTGGGAAAGGTGTGATATCACGAAATATCAAATTTGATAGCTTTATAAGCATCAACAAACACGCACAAAAAAATAAGTCTCTGTTTGTACACCTACATTTATTGTTTGTGTTGGTCTGTATCACATATGAGGTCAAAGTGATATCACTACTTTGGTGTCTCGTAGCTCTCTTTTATTTTCTTTCTTTTTTTTCCAAAAGGTGTTTTGAGCGGATAATAAAGCACACATCGCATTAAATTATGGCGAGTTGCCTTTTTTCATTTATTGTGCACTTTCCATTCATGTGGAAGAAATAATGAAAGGTTTTGCAGATTTGTTGGAACCTTTTCCTTTTTCTTTGTTCATAGGGAAAAAATGATTACAAAGGTTCCCTCTTTTTTCTTTTTAAAGCTTCGGGTGCTCCCTTATCTCTCACTTAGGTGTGTGGTTCCCTTCACATTTGAATCTTCTCCCAAAATATTCTCCCAGAGTCTCTATTTGCTTACCACATTTCTAAAATCGAGACAAAATATCAAGTTCTTTCAATTTATTTATTTAAATATTTTTATAGAATAAAACAAATTTTACACATTTAAAAACTGCATGAAAAGTTATTCGAAATAAGAGGTATTAAAAATATTTTAGTTTATCAAATAACCAATGAAAACATACAAATAAATAAAAATTTTTGTGATTGTTGAAAAGCAAATGTGACACTCTTTTAGGGAGGGGGGAGTATAAACAAAGATAAATGTGGAGTTAAATTAATTAAGAGTGGAAGGAGGAGAATAATTTTATCTCTCTCTTTTTTGTTAAGACGATAAAATAAAGATGAAAAAATACGCGAGTAATAAATTTTTTCTCAAACAATAATTTTCTCCCTAATTAATTGAATGAAAAAGTTCTAAATGAAAAGTATATTGAGCAACTTAGTTAGACTATCATTTTCATTCAAATATTTCATTTTCAGATCCGATGCAAATAATTGTAGTTTAATCCAAATATTTTTTAAAAAAATCTGTACAGCAAGAGGTAATTAATCACGTGATAGTGGGGTTAGTAAATAAAATAAATAATTAATTAAATACTCCGTAAATAATGCCGACAAATATTTGGTTGGCCTAAAAACCCCACATATTCCATCTCCTCGATCATGCACTCTAATCACATGTCCTCTCAAACTAACAACTCCACTTCCTAAATGACACCACAACTTGACTAATAAAGTGTGTCTCTCATCCAACTACCCTTTGTTCTTTGGCAACATTGACTCATTCTTAAAGTCTTGTCATTTGGAGTATACTTCCTCTGTCGAGAAACGATCTTTCCATTACAAGTTGTTACATATTTGTAAATTACATGACCGAATGAGGTTTACATTTTAGATAATTTTTTAATGGTTTCAATTGGTTTATAATATGTTTAAGTTAAATATTATTGTTATATAAATTTTTTGAAATGTTAAGGCTAAAGAATGATGTTGTTCACAAACAAGCTCAATGTCTAGTGGGATATTGTGTTGTGATTTTTGTGGCTCTTGAAAAAAACCCAGAGAATGAATAGTTTACTCCATAGTTGCCTTTGTATATGCAATTATTCACATTACAATATGTTAACAAACCAACTCAATTAAGAGGGTTAAAAACCGAAAAATGTCTAATGCTCCATTCTGAAACACGTCCCTCACGTTAAGACAAGGCCAGTTTGTTCGAGGTTATGAGTATTACTACCTCCGTCCCACTCTTTTTGTCCAGTTTTGACTTTTGGAACTGTTCATCTAAGCACTTTGACTCATCAAATTCTCTCAATGTGTAAGCCTAAAAATAGTCATGTGTGATCTTGTTTGATTCGTCTTAACATATAGATTATTAATATATAATTTTTATAATTTTTTAATATACATATTACAAGATAAAATAGATTAAAGAAGTGCATTGGATGGTGTGCAAAAATGAAAGTGGACAAAAAGAGTGGGACGGAGGGAGTAATTGTTTGTAGATGGATTGGCATTGAGCCCTCCAAATCCTCGGCGTGTGAACAAACTTGCCTTGTGTTCGCGATCATATTGTTCATGCAGTCATGTCTACTCTTCCCCAGAACGACATAAGAGCTTGGTGAAAATGAGGCTGAAAACTTGTTCTCTTCAGCTTATTCTTATTACGGAGTATTTATTACTTATTCTTATTGAAATCGGCTAAAATTTGGTCAGAAACAACTTTAATTAACTACATTCTGATCGATTAGAATGTTCTCCAATCAGATCAGGTGAAGAGAACAGGTCCTTACATTAAGCGGTCATACCGTTCCGCCAGAAGTGTGATGCCAATAACCATAGTATAACAATGCATATTTCCCACAGAGTAGGGATGAGGAAAACAGAGCCATTTTGATCACCTAAATAAGAGGACAAATTGGAGAATGGCTATGGTTGGGATTGGGGGAGGGAGGGGGTTGATCTCAAACATAAATAATGGAATATCCAATTAAATATTAGAAAAACAAGAAATGAATCCAGCAGGCAGGATCTAAAGATCTGAAAACAATAAACAGGTCTAATACAAAGAAGAAGAAAAGTAACACATCTAAAAGTCTAAACTGAACACAATGAATGTGAAAAACCAAAGAAAGAAGCTCAATTCTATCAAAAGGGAATAATGCAAATATGGATGTCGAGTCTATCCAAACGCAAATCACACGCTTCTTGGTCTCCGTTTTTCTTGTCGGACACCCTTCTTTCGCCTTTCCCTTGCAATGTCAATGGCTTCCTCTCTTTTTCTTTTATCTAATACAATGATCAACAACAACAACAACAACAACAATGACAATGACAAAGAAATAGTCCAGTAAGGAAAATTACCAAAACACCACCGAACAAAATATCCGCCGGTCCATGCCATGACCTTTGCAGGAAAAATGCCAATTCATAGCCCCTCAAGACTTTCTATCTTCTCTTCCTAACATCAATAGAGTTGCACGGTACTTGGGGCATCGGTCCTTGGTTCATTAAGAGACCGGTACATGTACAAAACATCAAAATCGTTCCCACTCCTCCCCAGCTCATTCCAGTCAACCACTTCCACCACCAAGTTTGGCAACTCGCGTGCAATCTCCTCACAGCATTGGCGCGACACCGGGCAAGCTGACATCCAAATGAATCTCATGTTATAGTAGTGCCGCAAGCCAGAACGGGCAGCTGAATCCCCAAACGGGCAATCCCTAACCTCAAGCTTTTGCAACTTGGAGCAGCCCTCCAGCACATATGTCAGCCCTAAGTCACTGTTTCCAGCAAATGCGACTGACAAGGTCCGCAAAGATTTTCCATATTGTCCAATGTAACTAAAAGCCTGGTCAGTTAAAAGACCAGATACAGAGAGGCGGGTGAGTTTCTTACAGTTCCTGACAATTGCCGCAAACCCTTCATCCATAGGCTCACCAGTTACTGGGTCAGGCCTGTGCCGCCCCATTATACAGAGACGGAACACCACAATGTCCGGTAAGTTCTGTGACCAGGTAATGACTGCTGCATTTGTCATTCTCTGGCAAAAATATAGTAAGTATTGAAGTTTTTTGCACCCCTCAGAGATTGCAAGAAAACCAACTTCAGAAACAGGGCCCTCTAAGTCTTCATCAGCATCGGTAGGGAACACTCGAAGCTCTCTCAGATCCTTGCATGTTTCGGCTACGGCCTTGAGCCCTTCATCGCAGATAGAATCAAGCACCTGCAGAGAACACAACTCGGGTATAAGAGCCCGTTAGGGTGAATTTGGAAACTTTTGCTAAAGTTGGCTCGTTTTTCTGAAATGAAAATCATTCTGAAATAATAAAAAATAAACTAAGCAAGTCAAGGGGAATGTATTGTGTTGATAAAGTATAAGAACAAGTTGACTAATGCAACAAAACAGGGTCTAAGAGCCTGTTTGGTAAGCATGATCCCAACTCCATTGGAGTGGGGGGAGTGGGGGGGTCAAGATGTAAACCTTTCCCCTAAAAAGAGTCTTAAATTCATGATGCATTACTGCATTTACTACCAAGAACTTCCTAGATAGCAACATCAAACTCAGTAAAACCCCACAACAATCCCACATATAATAAGCAAATGAAGTTTACTGTGTCATTTTGATTTAGTCCATTTTCTACATGAAGCAAAAACCTTGTCGATAGTGACTCTTTTAGCTTTGTTTGGTAAGGTGAGATTGAGTGCAAATCATGAAATTGCAGAAAATGTGAAATATAAATATGAAGTTCATAAAATAAAGAAAAAACAAGTTAAAAAAGTAACATGATCATCTTCAACAGTTTCAGCCAAGATGAATTATCTCCAGCAATTTCTCTATCACTTTGGCTGACTCATAAGGCAAATAAATTGGCTTAAACCCCCATGAATAAAACAAAATTAAAACTTCAATGAAGTTGCAACAAAACCCTAGGAAGTTTACATACCCAGAAAACCTGCAGTTTGTGGCAGTGGCAAATGACTGCTTTAAGTTGTTCAGCGTCGATATCGGCGAAGCTAAAATTGAGGGAGGTGAGGTTGGCACAAACGGGGTATATGGCAGGGAGATAAACAGGAAGTATTTCCCTGAATCCAGAAAGACAAACTAAGGATTTGCAGGAAGCAAAGGCCAAGGCATAGTTGAGTTCTTCTTGGTCACCACCACCACCCTGATCTCCGTCAGCTTCTTCTAAGGGATTAAATGATCCTGTTCCAAGATGAGTAAGCTGTGGAGCCCTAAGCATCAGCCGATGAAGCTGTTTAATGGAAACAAGCTGATTCAGCTTAAGTTTCTTCAAGCAAGGAGACCTCATCACCAAACTTTCCAATGCTTCAAAATTCACATCGTATACCACACACTCAAACATCAAAGACTCAAGGCATGTCTCACCTTCTGGAAAACATGAAATCCAATCCACATCATCATCTTCGATGATACACTCTATCAAATCAAGCACCCTTAATTTCCTGAGATAAATAAAAAAATAAGCAATCAGGGTGCATGGGCAGCAGCTCTTTTCTTATCCAATTACGGAGTAACAGACTTCATTATACTCCCCATTACATTGTGATAGTGATTAATATTCCTATTTTCAAACAGAAAAAATGTTTCGCAAAACATAATCTAGACTATTACTCCGTATTTTATAAGAATGAATATAGCCAAGAAAATGAGGTTTTCATAGTCTTATTACTCATCAAATGATTTAAAGATAGTCGTCAACTAAGTAGATTGTATGCTTTACAACATATCAGAGCACAAGTTGTTTCTAACTTTAGCTGTAATTATGAGAATTTCAGCATAAAAAATGATAACTTCAACACCTCCATACAACAAAGTGAACAAACTCATATATCCTTGAACGGAACCAAGAAAATACAATTGGCTTTTATGATTTTTGTAAAACCTCCAAGTCAATGGGAAATTTTATTGAACAGACAATTAATATTAATTTGGTGTTGAACCCTTGTGCAGTACTTACCTTGAAGTTCATCCACCATAATGTGTAATTTAATTGTAGACTACATTGCGTTCCAAAAAGTCACCCAAACATTGATTGAACCAAAAGAATAGAAATAAAATAACATTGATGTTTAGAAATAAGGTATTATTGTTGTTATTGTCATGATTTCTGAACCAATAAGATTTGACTAGACACTTGAATATTTGGATAGAATGATGACTCTAAAAAGTCACAAGACATGTCATTCAAATGAATATCATGCACACTCTCAATTATAAATGGTTGACCAATTTGCATCTTAGTGCCAGATGAGTAGATGATAATAACAAATACAAAAGTGAACAAATTCTTCCAAATTTTCTGTTGACAAAAATAAGTATGATGTGCATAAGTTTTCTAATCCAAACACCAGAAACAAAAAAATTCTTGAACTTGTTACGGATAGGATGAAACTTTTAGAATATGTAGGCCATTTATAATTGAGATCACTCAACAGATTGGTTTCAAGGTCAAGTTGTGTGAATTTTGTGGCATTATTGTAACAAAATAATAGAAAGCGCCACATCAAATTTTGCTGCTTCAGCAATAATAACAAGAGTAGCCACCAAATATAAGTGCTGTTTTCTTTTAATTCTTAAGATTAGATCAATGTTTGGATGACTTTCTTGAATGCAAAGTAGCGTACAAGAAAATTGTTGACCCACCCAAATTATTGTAGTTAACCCAAAAGCACAAAACATTAGAGTCATCAAGAAATTTATTTCATTTGCATCAATCACAACACCATACACTGATACACATTATAGTTAGTGATGTCCAATGTGAATACGTGGCATATATCCTATGCCAAAATTATAGCAACGATCAATAACAACATCATTTACTGACTCAGAGAGTCTTGTAAAAAGATCATAGAATCTTGAAGCTAATCTATTGATATTGTAAAAGGTCATAAGAGTGGTTGTATCAATGCCTTGATGTCATCATAATCGATGTTACAATTCACATAATTTACCAATTACAAAGAAGACAGTGAAAACCATAGGTCATGTTAAATCAACCATGTATTGTAATCAAGGCTGAGAGGTTGATTGCATTACCATGTTTACTTAGAAAGGTTATAAAAAGTACTCAGGAGTAGTCACGATTGCAATGTAATGTCATGGAATAACAATTAAGTACTCCCTATGCAAATGGGATTTACTAAGCAAAACCTATGTAAACGATAAGGGAACTATATCCAAATTTCAAAGCGGGCACGAAATATTTGAAGGAAGCAACACTTACCTGCACCCACTGGCTACAAAAGCAAGAGCTAAGGTCCCCATCTGTTCGCAACAGACCAGTAAGAGCTCCTTCAGATTGGGGAAAGCTTGAGCCATCATCTTCATATCTTCATTGAAGATATTCATGCGTTTGAGATGCAGTTTCTGGAGTGCACGATAGGGCCCGGACAGGACGGTAATCCACGGAGTCAAGCTTGCACCCCAATCGGGCGGCAGCAAGCCAAAATCAGCAAACCGGGGTTTCCCCTTGAGAATCAGCGAGGTGAACCGGCTGAAGCGAGCCGTGACTCGCTGAGGCGACACGGCGTAGCAGTTGCCGATGAAGACCTCGGATCTGGTGATAGCCTCAATCCGGTACCACGACTTGCAGACGAGCGACGCGGCGTTCCGGTCCCGCCGATCCGTCAGGAAGCAGAGCACGTTTTCCAGCACATTCTCCAGGACGTGATCCGAGGTGCAGTAGGGGTCTCCTCCCCCGGCGGCGCAGATGCGAGATTTTGCAGCGGAGGCGCCTCCGGATAGATCTGAAGCAGAAGAAGAGGCGCGCGACGGCTCCGCGTCCTCCGACATCTCAGAGCGGTCGTCACTCCCGATGCTACTGCCGGGACTGCAATTACTAGTCTTATGACTCATCGGATTTATCAATTGGATTCCCAAGAATCTCTGAAATCTATACCCATACAGAAATTATTATTTTTTTTTTGCAAAAAAATTTAAAATAATATCACTCCAGACAGCAATAATATGCCCATTTTTACAGCATTTTTTTATTATCTCAGATGATGGGGAAGAAAGCGAAGGGTGTTTTGGCTTCTAGCAGAGGGTGGGGAACGAGCACAGAGGCCTCTGCACCCTTAAACTTTCTACTCCAACTAATTATAGGTGGCGGTGGTAGGTGGAGGAGCACGGCGGGACACGGCGGAGGGGGGCAAGCATTGGCTGTTTCTAGATTTTAACGCTGCTGCATTTGCCACCGTTACTTTGGGCTTTTCCACTCTTCACTCACGCTCTTTTGTCCTTTTGTCTTTCTTTTTTACTCGTAAACTTTTCTTTGTTCCTTCCGTTTTTCAAAAAAAAAAAATACAAAAAAGAGCCTTGAGGATCTATCACAACAAGAGCACTAGAAAATTCATATTTTGGAAATAAAAATATGTACTCCGTAACTTTTAATTTTTATTTTTTTATTTAGGTATTTTAGTATATATTTTCAATGTTTTACTATTACTTTAGGTGATATTTTCTTTTTCTAATTTGATTGGTTTAGATCTAATTGAATAAGTTCTGATCTGATCAAATTTTAAGATATTTATATTTAAAGTTATTTATGATCTAATCTAATTCTAATAAGATTAAATAATAAGTAAAAATAAGTTGAGAATAACATGACCTTACTCTTTTTTCTCAAGGATAAGGTCGAGGGCAGTGTCTCAGGTTTTTTTAAAGTCAATGTGTAATGGCAAGAACAATACTCGTATTAAATTCCATCTTAATGTTTTAACATACTACACATAATTTATAACTAAGTAAATAAATATTTAAATTTATAAATTATATGTTATTATATTACTAAAATTAATTTCAATTAAAGTGTTAAATATTTTGGCCTTTTTTACATTAGAAAAGGGCTAATGGAGGCATCTAATTTTTTTGGTGTATATACCAGTACTATTTTAGAATAAAAAACCTAGATAATAACACTATTAATTAGGTCATTTGAAAAAATTAATTGTGGGAGTGTCCAATTGCCAACATAGTGGATCCGCCTCTGTGTATAATAAAAAGGGCAAATAGCTTGTTTTGATAAGTCCAAAACATTTTTTATTATTATACGGAGTATTTGTTTTTTTTATATTTGTCCAGCTTTGAATTTTTGTAATTAAGCGTATTCAATCTTTGACTTATAATACAATTGGTAAAATTATATGATATATAAATTAGATGAAATAATATTTTAAGAATACTCTATAGAGATAAACTTAAAAAAATAAATTTTGTATCTATATCTAATATTAATTTTGTTTAATTAATAAATTACGTTTTTCACTTTTGACTGCAAAATACTAAAACTAAACAAATATTCAGGGAGATAGATAGTACTCCGTACTTGTTAATATGTCAAAAATACTCTGTAGTATATGTCTAATGGAAAACTTTTCTGTAGTCCTAAGGTATACACTAATTTAATTTTATACTGTAAAATTTAGTAAATAGACATCATGGATAATTGGGCTTTTTGACAAAAATAAATGATCCTCATATGAGTCCATTAAAAGTGTGAGAAGATTCAAATTTCACATGTACACTTTAAAATCATGAAAAACATAATTCATGTCTAATTATTTGTCTTTCTATTCATTAAAAAGTTCAATTCATTGTTCTCTTTAATCGGTCCCAAACACCGCTTCACTCTCTTGCTAAAAATAATTGTGTCTGCATGGGTAGCTCGACAGTCTAAGGAGTGGAGTTCGAATCCTGGCATCGACAATGTGAGAGTTCTATTATTTGTATTAGTTCTTTGTGCGCACTGAGCACATGGCGATCTCTCTAAAGATCATATTAAAATTATATCATAATTTACTCCTCTCACAATTCTATTGGGCTAGGGTATGGGGCGCTTGGAGTGGGCATCCACCTTTAAAAACGACATTGTTACCCCCATTTCTACATAAATTTCAATCATACAATTTTTTTTTTATATAATTGTGTAGATGAGTTGAATAACCATTTACGTAGTAAAGAATCAATGAAAAAATTCATTATCTACACTTGCTGGTTAGTTGTGGCGCAAAGGCTTGTTGATAGAGCATCCATTATTTGTCCATTTCTAATATCAAAGAAGTTAATTAACTTATAAAAAAATCTTATTAACTCTAGAGTGTAATATAATTAACTAATTAAGCTATTATTTAACGTACTTTGGTGTTAAGACTCTCTTAATTAAGAGTAATGCATAGATATCAAGGTGCTAACAATAAAATTTTTAATGTAATATATCTAAATTAGTTGTGATTTTAACATTATTCTTTAATTAAATAGCCAACGCGACATGTCATCACTTATTAAACATAGATATCAAGGTGCTAAGAATGAAGTTTTTGAATAATTTTCTAGAGTGAAGTCTAATGGATTACTCCAACTTGTCAAAAAATTATTTAATATTGGAAATGTTTGATAAAAAAAATTTCATAATGAGAAATTTACTCTGGTAATTTTTTCTCTGGGGAAATGAACATTTTAAAGTCGAATTGGGTTTAATACACCGTATATGGTTTAAACACAATTTTCATTTGGGTCATGCTACACTTACACCACAAATTGTACCCCATTTGTACACCGCAGTTATACACAAACATTTTGATGGTTTACACCGACACAAGTGTTTGTGCATTAACAAAAATTTACACGGACACAAAGTGTTGGTGCATTAATAAAAATTAGTTTTATACCAACACAAAGTGTCGGTGCAAACCTGCAGGGTACAAAGTGGGGTACAAAAGTTGGGGTACAAATAGCTTTATCCTTTTCATTTTCCTAATATACATGAGTCCCATCCACTCATTGTGGGGGTCGTTAGAACCTAAAAGTGTATTATATCGGTCAATTGCTTGGGGTCAGGTCCGAAGGAGATTTCAAGTTTCACACTTTCACCATAGATATTTTCCCAGTGTTTCTTACCATTGCTTTTTTTACTAAGCTTAGGTTGGACATGGCCTGTAACGAGCTTTGGGTGGGGGTGGGGTGGGGGTGTGGGGGGGGGGGGCATACGCATGAACACAGCCTGATATTATCACCAAGTAAAAACACGTACAGTTAGCTTGAAACCCCAAACTGTTTTACTATACTGAGCTTATACAGGGTAACTTGAGCAGCCGAAGCATGGGAAAAAATTCAAATGTCAACAACAGCAACGGCATAAGCATGGGGAGGTAGGAATTTACTGTTTACCATGGGATGTTGGAAAAGATCAACTCTGTGTGCATTCAAATGGTTGAGGGCCCCCTTCTGCAAGCTCACGCATCCTGAACCGTTCCAGAAATTCAAAAGGCCTGCAAAAATTGTAATCGTATGTTGAATTCCATTCTTTTGAGTATTCTTTTGAGTATTCTTCTTAAGTCTAGCTCTAGCCACATGTCTATTCACCATTTGGTCAACTATTCTCACTGGATGCTGTATTGGTCTTCCCCCCACATATCCAAACCACTTAAGATGAGTTTCTACCATTTTTCTATAATAGGTGTCACTCCAACTTTGTTGTAACCAAACAATGCCTAAAAATTATGTGACATGTAATTTTTCTACTATGCACCGTAACTTAACCCCACATCTGACCCCAAACAACATAAAAGGTTCGGCGCTGTCAAACTCTCAGTACCAAACCTAGCATATCCCAAGAGTGGTAGGATCTGTGGACAAGATGTACGTAAATCTCACCCCCCAAAAGTCTACCCCAACGAGAGGACCCCGACAAACAATAACACATCATGTGAGGAGTGCTAAAGAACATATCGAGCACAAAAAAATAACCCCTACAACCCTAATAAAATGCCTCTAGCAACTTCAATAAATGCCCTTAGAGAGATTTAAAACTGCTAGCTTGGGTGAATGGCATTCAACAATCGGGATATGCCTGGTGGCAGCAGCTAGGAGAAAGGACTTACAGAGCCGCATGACGAGTGCTACATAAGTTGCGCTGATTGTTTTCCATTACATCTAAAAAATTCCAAGTCTCTGGGTCTAATCCATTAGATAATCTGGATTGTAGCGAATCACTTGGGGTCCAAATCTGATGCCACAAATAAAAATATCATTGTTCTTTAGATTCACACAAATGCATACTAAGATATTTCACACACTTGATATATTTTTTTTAAAAAAATAGTCAAGCTATGTAGTTCTCACTTTTATGGTGTTCTCAATACCACTCGTAGCCACAGCACAATCATATGGATGACACTGTATACAATTTACAACTGAAAGGTAAAAATTGGGATGTTAGAGACGTGGGAAAATAATATAAATTAGCCTTTTTACTGTATTCTAACCAGTAGTATAAAAAGAATAAAGAAAGCAAATGCATTACCAGATTGATCTCCAACAAGAATTTTTACTATCCTGCCAGTTTTCTTTTCCCATATGAACCATCTACCATCATCACTCCCACTGGCAATATAATCACCTAAATGCATATATTATAAATTTGTATCCAGTGAAGAGCTTTGACTTAAGAGTAAAGTATAGGAAGAATAACATAGCAAAGATTAAATCCAGGGATACCTCTTTGGCCAAGAAAACTAGCCTGTTTTATATCAGTGCCTACATTGCAGTGACCTACATATCTTTGTTTCATATCTATAACTGCCTCAGGCTGCAACAAGGGTAAGATACAACCATTTTTGATAATGCTAAAATGATTAGAAGTTGCAAAGGCATAATTATAATGGAACTCAAAAGAATCAGCGCTGGAACAAAAATGTTGGGTTAGCATTTGTTTGGAAGAGAGAGTTGTCAAGAGCCACATATTCCGTACTTGATAAGTAAAGCACGGATTTTATTTTGGGAAAAGTAAGGATTATAAAAGTTATCATTGTCCTTTCTTTAGCACGGCATAAAGAAGAAAAGGCAGAAGAACAAACCCATTTCCCCCCTCTGAAGTGGGAAAAAAGTTATATGTAAAGTATATTGTCTTTATTTGTCAATTCATCTTCACACATAGATACACTGCTACATGTGGTTTGGAAAATTAGCATCAATACCCCCCTATTTTCGAAACTTATTTCTAAAGACTTCCTGGTTTCAAAACATTGCACCCACACCCCCTCTGATCATTTTCTGGCGAAGAGGGGCATTGGTGCCTATTTTCTAAACCATAGGGGTCACACGTGCTCATTTCTTATTTTTCAGTTATTACTTTGTTTTTTTTCCTTTTTTAAAACTTTTTTATCTCTTTATTTCCCTTTCCAAGTAAAGTTGTTTAAATTTTATTTTAAATTTTTTATAATGTTTTTAAAAATTCAACATTTTTTGTTTTTGAAAAAAAAACATATACTCCATCATCTATCTCAAATTAAACATTTTAACTTTTTTATGTTCTATAATAAAGTTTTTGGTAAGTTCAAAAAGAGATTAAAAAATAAAAATAAAAAATATGAAAAAAACAAAATTAAAAAAATTAAAACATCTAACAAAGAGTCTTATACAAAAAGAAACTTTCTAAACGCCTAAAAAAGTCCTTAGAATTGGAAAGTTCAACAAGGATATTCATTTTTATTTTTTGTTTTATTTTATTACTTATTTTATTCCTCATTTTTTGAAGTTCTCAAAACAAGTTTTTAATTTTCTATTTTAGTATATGTTGATAACGTAAAAATCATGACCTGGTAAGATGATTTCTCATCTTGGCTCACGGACGATGGTGAACCATTTGTTCTTGTCTCCGTACTTGAATCATCTCTCCTATAAATCCTCACATTCAGTCTTCCTTCAATGACATTGGGCTCAATATTATCGTGTGATTCATCCCCACTTAGTGATGTTTCAAAAGCCAATTCCAGATCCTCATCAGAATCTTCTCTCTCAGACCTCGCATCATCTTGTGAAGAATCGCTATTTGCATTTGAGTGGTAGAGTATGTCACTCAATGAAAACACCTGTCCAACCTCACTTTCAGATTTAGATTGTCCATCATGTTCATTCTTAGCTTTCTCCACTTCTGCTGTTCTTTCGGGGAAAACAAGAAAATTTTATGAGATAATAACAAAAATTCAACTAGAGAATTTAGGCTGTTGATGAAAATGTGAACTGTCATCTGTGAGTCATACCATAGAACTATAAAGTGGAACAACAACAAAAACAAAGCCTTATCCTAACTAACTTGGAGTTAGAATTACGTCAGGTCATTAAAAACAACAGCAGCTCGAAAGTATGGTCTGTGGAAGGTGTGTGTATGCAAACCTTGCCCCTACTCGAAAGTAGAGAGGCTGTTTACAAGAGACCTATTGCTCAAGCTGCACATATAGAAAGATCACAGTAGATACATAAAGCAAAGAAAGCACAGATACAACACAGATAAAGCACCAAGCATCCAGAGTAAACAAAAACAAACTATACAAAGCATACAACAACACCTTCTAGCTCAAGGCACCTACCCAGCTGCAGTTAAAATTTAGATAACAATGCAATGGATGAATCTACTGAGTATTACTATTATTTATGGAGAGCATTTAAAAACTTAGAATGTTAAGTTTTAAGCACATTCTAACTTTTTATTATGGTTTGAAATGCATATTTTACCCTTTCATGTTGGATTCACTTACCGTCTTTGTCCTTAATAGAACAATCCGATGAATTTTTTTGAACATGACAAGTTATCATTATAAATTGCTATTTTACCTTATTATCATCATCAACATCATTTTCATCATTATCATTTTCATCATCATCATCAATTTATTCTATTATTTTAAATTGAGGCTTACGCCTCACTTTGCCTCCGGACTTGAGCCTCATGAAGCAGAGGCTGACCATAGGCCCAATTTTGCCTTGTAAGATCTTGAATTGTGCGATGTGTGGATGTATTCCACAAGTATAAATTTTCACATCATTACATTTGATAGCATTTTGGTCTAAATGTGAAACTGTTTTTATACCAACAAAGTACAGACTAAAAGTAAAAGAGATCAAAGATAAGGACCAAAATGAAATATGCCACCATAGCTGAGGGACCAAAAGTGAAATTCATTCTAAATTAAATTAAACCACGTGTAATTAATTAATTTTTATTCTTTTCTAGAAAATTATGTAGCTTAAAATAGTATTGTTGAGCCTTCCCCATCTGTGTTGTGCTGCATTCTAAGTGATTAATCGCACTTGATAGCAAAAAGATGTCAACCAGCACAACACACTCACCTGCATTGATAAGCCTTTTTAAACTATCCACTTTTTCTGCAGCTTCAGTACCATCTGGAGCCATCGATTGAGCACCCATAGCAAATTCCATAGCTTCCTTGTGTTTTCCTAGCTGCAAAGAATGTTAAGAGCTAAAATAAGAAAGGCCAAGAATTCTAATTCTCTTTATGCAAATAGTTGTGTTCTCAATGTCCAGTCTCCTGCATCATGCAAGTACTGAAGATAAATTCAGCCTTATTCAAGTTTCAGAAAGGTTGCCACACTTGAGCATATGACCCAAACATCATTAGTTCACAAGTAGGCAACTACACCAAACACATTTTTCTATAAGTTAATCTAATGTAGTAATTAAAAAATCCTTGAAAACATTTACAAGTTCTTAAGCCATAAAGGTGAGTATATGGGGAAAATCTCAATATGCACCCTAAAAAAGTAAACAAAAAGCAATATGCACCCTCACTTTTCTCAAATTTCATAGCGCACCATAGTAATATGGACGGAGGAATGACCGGAGAGGATCGATGAGATGGAGCAGAACGAGAATAGCTCCCGAGGTTAATATTCTTGCAGTTAACGGCAATGGACGGTAGGGGATGGTGGAAGGTTAGGTGGAAGCTATTATAACTTTTGAGGGTGCACTATGAAATTTAGAAAAAATGAGGGTGCATATTACTTTTTTAATACTTTTTGAGGGTGTATATTGAGATTTACCAAATAGGTGATGCAATTGTTGGAAAAAGTACCTGTAATAAAGCTTCAGCCATCAAAATTAGTGCCCCAAATGAAGTTGAATGAATCTTTCTAGCTTTATGACAATCTCTTATAGCCATGTATACATCATTTTTCCAATTTCTCTGAGGAAAGGAGATTAAGAACAACAGCAGTTAGGAATACCATCAACAAAGAAATCTATTTGAAGCAAAGAAATTAAGTATTCTTCAGAAACCTTGAGCAATAAGGCCGCTCGAATGCATAGACAATCATAAGTAAGTGTAGGTCCTATTTCATCCTCATAACCATGTAAGACTTCGTTACAGACTTCAATACCATAGTAATAATTTTCTCCTTTCAACGAGTTTTCGGCAGTCTGAATCAACTTTCTGCACTTCTCAAGCTGCAAAAAAGGAGCAAGGAGAGCTCGGTGAGGCAAGAAATAAAAAAGCTGAAACCGTTATGGATGCTTTCATGGGATGGGTATAAAATAAGAAAACTATCTCAGAGAAAAAGTAGGATAACCTTAGCAGTTGCATGGCTTCTTAGTAAAGATCCATTTAAAAAGATACCAGTTACAGATGACTGCAATTCTACTTCCTTGACAACGGCATTAAAGTTCATAAGCTTAGCTACATCATTGGAAGAATATCGCATAGAACTTCGTGCTTCAACAAAAAGAAAGCTTCATAACTGTTTTGAATGTATGAAGTATGCTATAACCAAAGCTTTAGCAACACATTGTAATAGAGCTTTGGTTTAAGATAAAAATAATGTATTAATACAAATAAACTTGGTGAAATGCTTAGAATGAAGGATAAGGATATCCATAGTGAAATCAAGCATACATACTAGGATTGACATCCATCAGGTACACATGCTCCCCACTGTAGCTAAGTAGAACCTCTTCGCCGTTGGGACTAAATGTAACATGAGTTAGATGCAAGCTAGAATGGCCCTGAAAGAGGGAAAAAATATTAATGTCATAGTTTCCATTTACTAAAGCAGGTAACACACAAGTCTTAGCTCAAATTTAAAGTACTGTTATATTCAAAATAATCTTGAAGATTTGAAATTTCTACAAAACCTCATCCAGTGCACCATGGCACATGTTTCATATTAGTTACTCCATGTTGGGATTCCATTTCGTATTTTTTCAATCAAACATCTTAAAGTTCCGCCACTAATATGTTTTTATGAAAAATGATTCATAATATAAAGTTAATATAAAAATGTTATTTCCTAAAAATACTTTCATAAACATATAAATTTTTAACATAAACTTTTAACATAGAAAGGTCAAAGATAAAAAAATCCCTGTGGGACTGAGTATGTATATATAGCATAATGCAACAAGCTTATAGAATATGGACAAATAAACCCTAGAACTGTCACGGAAAAGTCAATTGAGCTCACAATAGATTAAAAAATATGACATTTAAACAGCAGTCCAAACTCTAAAATGCATGTGAATCCATTTCACGAGTTACTAAGAAATAATCAAGTAAACCTTCCCATAGTTGACGACATGGGCAACTTTGTTTATGTGCCATTATACGCAGTTTCTAACACAATCATACCAAAAGCAACAACAACAACACGCAACAGCAACCCAGTATATTTCGGGTCTGGGAGGGGTGAAGATGTATGCAACCTTACCCCAGCAAAAAACAAAGAGGTTGTTTCTGTTATACCCTTGATGCATTTACTGCCAAAAACTTCATTGGAAGTAAAACACAAGGGAAGTTTAATGTGTCATTTTGATTTAGTCCGTGACTTGTCCCGCATAGAACCACTACAGTCAAAATTGAGAAATCGCATTGACCTAGTAATAGGACATTAGATACCCGCGTTAAACCACTCTGGTCAAAACTAGGAAATTGCATTGACAGAGAAATAAATAGTTAAATACGAGGCAGGTAATAACCGATATTTATTACAGGTAATTGGACAAATTTGCTCTATACATATTCATCCATATACCCACGTGTATCCAGTTATCCACTACAGTTACCTGCACCATAATGTGCCTCCAAAGTCAATATCCTTTAATTTTACAAGTATAACTAAACAAATCTCGCAACCACAGAGGGATAGAGAGACATGCATACAAATATCCTTTAAAATTTTATTTTCTAATACGATTTACAAATTTCTCTTCCATCATCTCCGATGGAGCCAAAATTTCACCATTTTTTGGCTTTGGGGTGTGATGGAATAAATCAAAATGGATCTCTAAACTATCTGCGCTTCTTTAATTAATGAAGTAGCAGTTAGTCAAACAATGCAACTTTCGACGTTGAGCCGGGGGTCTCTTTGGAAACAGCCTCTCTACTTTTGAGTAGGGGCAAGGTCTGCGTACACACACCCTCCCCAGACCCTACTCTTGTGGGATTTAACTGGGTTGTTGTTGTTGTTGTTGTTGATTTACAAATTTCCATCAAATAATTGTCATCAAAATATATGTTTAGCAACAGTACAGTGGATAGCAGCTGGAAGATTTTGTAGAGTTCACCACACAGATTTACAATTCAGGAGCATGAAAAATAACAAGATTAAAAATACATGATAAACCATCAAGAAAAAACAGTTCATAACTTTAATGCTGCAGGAACAAATTTAAGTGTGTAACAATTTATGCATCCGAAAAATAACAAGTGTTAAAAAGTTCGGAACTTACGCGGTCAGCAAGATGCATTGGACAAAAGTAATTGACACATGAAGGAGGTGCCAACTTTGTCTGACTAGAGGACAACGGTGGCAGCATGCGTCTATCATATAAGCGTGCAAAAACATCACTGCAGAGATTAATGTAGAAATTAGAAGAAAATTGGACCATAAAGAAAAAAAAGACATAATCACATACCTTTAGAAAATAAGCTACAAAGACCTACCTCCCACCAACAAGAAGCAAATGAGGCCTAGTTGAGCTGATATCACAAGACTTGAAGGAAAAAAACTGCTTAGGGGGATCTGCCAATGACTTCTTGGCTCCACAGCGCAAGTCAAGCTGTTCAACACATAAATATTTGCATAGTTTTCTAGAAAAGGAGAAATGTTCATCTCGAGAAGCACTTTTATCTAAAACAACAACAACAACAACCTAGTTAAATCCCAAAAAAATTGAGGTCTGGGGAGGGTGTGTGTATGCATCCCTTACCCCTACTCAAAATTAGAGGGGTTGTTTCCAAAGAGAGCCCTGGCTCAAGCACCACATGTAATCACATAAGCAGCGTTACCCCTATGTTTAAAACATTGAGCGGGTGTTTTCAAATTACCCATGATGAGCGTTGGAAGTTGCATTGACTAACTAACTGCTACTTACTTTGCTTTATTCCATCATACCCCAAAACAGAAAATAGTTAATATTTGGCTCCATCGGAGATTATGGAAACGACATTTTGATAAAAACATTGTTCTCTAAAAGGCATTCTTAATTTATCTAACAGTCATTTTTATTTACGCTTCAGCATCGTGATAAAAGCACAGTGTATTACAAAAGAATGGGTCCAACATAAAATAAAAAATAAAAAAATAAAAAAAGCAAAAGGTTGAAACGAGCCAGATGAATAAAACCAAAATCATGTAATTGCTAAAACCCCATGCTTTTCTGGAAAAAAGCAAGCACGACAAGTTTTCGTGTTTAATTACAATTTCACATACTACGTAGAACATAAATATGAAGGAACATTCAACACTCACAGTCCAGAAAATGGGGCTATGGGAGTGTTTAGCACTTACAAGAATGTTACGGCATTCTTGATGAGAAGAAGCCGCGGGAGGGCAAGAAGCACGTTCCCGAAAGTCATATTGCCTCAAAGTTCCATCTTCACTTGCACTCCAAACGACATTTGGATTTCCAATCTCAACCTGCAACAAAAATAAATGTAGCATGAAATACTGAGAGAAACCATCAAATGAGCATGAGTTAAATTCCAAAAATTAAAGACCCTGTCATTGTGAGATCTTACCGCTAATTTTTTTACCCTACGTGTGTGACAGTGATACACTGATGATGGACTAATAACATTCTCATCAAGTCTCCTTCCCCGTAAGCGAGACAGGCGGAAAAGCCGAACCTACCAGACAAAAAAATGCTGGGTGAGTCCAACTCCACAACACAGTCACAAGTCACAACATGTTGACAGCATACTCATTAGTGAGTATGCATGTATGATGACCCATCGAGATATTACTTCAGCGTCCCCAGCTCCAGAAACAACAAGCTCATCAGATGTTTCAGGAACAAATTTTGTGCAGAATATATTTGCTGAATGACCAGTCTCTATAGAGTGCAGTAGCTTACGGTTGAAATAGTTCCATATATTCATCTGCACCAAATAAAAAACTAAATAAGTATCTGGATGCAAGTAACTCTCAATCTACAAGCAAATATCAAATCATTCAAAGACATAGTTACACAAATAAATTGAGTTTCAATGTGACAATTGAGTCTCACCGAGTTAGTAATAAGAATTCTTATACTCCGTAATATTTTTAAACTACAGATAAGGGGTATGTAAGGTACTTAGGAAATTACTATGGTGTGCTATGAAAGTTGCACCCCCGTGTATATTTTCATTAGCACGGAATGCAACTTCATCGCCCCTCCATCCCGTTGGAAAATTCCAACTACCATTAGCACAGACATTAAGATATTGGAAAAGTATTATAAATCTGGAAAGTATTATAAGAGACACGGAATAGGAAATATGGAAAAGGCTAACAGGATGGAGGAATAATAAAATCAATTAAATGGCCATTTACTCTTGTATCATCAGATCCAGAAATCAAAAGTGACCCTCTAGAATTCCAAGCAATAGTGTTGACGCAGCCTTGATGCCCCTGATACACAATAGATAACAGAGTTAAAGAGCACCTTTGAATTCATCAATAAAATTACTCCGCATCTGTATAAAATAATACGGAGCACATAGCAAAGTTACAAGTCCTCAAACAGTACCATCTTTAGGGTGGAAGAATTTCAGAATTCATTTTGTGCATTGTTTTTGCACTAAATTTCAAGAGCATCACACCATAAGACTTAGAAGCTCCTACATCCAAATAATCTAAAAATGCATTCAGCCTTTTACTAGAGATGACTAATAAAAAGTTGTGTTCCACTGCAGTATTATTTTATAAGGACAGACACAAAGTTTAGTCCAGAGAACACTTGAAGATCTATAAATTTATCCTTTTCTAGTTCAAGACCAGACACTTTAAGGTTACATTAGGCTTAATTTACAAAACAAACAAATAAACAAACCAACAGAATGCACTAAACAAAGAGTGCAATAAGTTGTGGTCAACAGCATCCACCAAGGTATATGCCTTGAAATCTATGATCGTTGTCAAGGCCACTTACCTCTAATTCCCTTTCAAGAGACAGCTTCCGTACCATGGAGGAGTGCATTTGAAATCTATGATCGTTGTCCTGTGTGAAAAAAACATTTGAATGGATCAAACTAACAAATGATATGCTCTGTATAAAATAGAAGCAGTATCCATTAGTATTACGGACTCAGTGAAATGAAGCAAAATGTTGTGGAGCACAGTTTAACAAGTCAGATTACATGGGAAAGAAACAACAAAGAAATGATCCAGGCACTGTTAGCTATTTATCTTTTCCAAACTAAAGTTTTGGTGCATTATGATGATCTTGAAATTGGGAGAATTCCTTCCATATAAATAAGTTTATTGTGCAAGTATACTTGAAGTCTAGTAAAGCAACAGATAGAGCAACAATAGCAATTCGATTCTCAGGCGTCTAGTAACAATTCAATAGCTCTTTCATTCATTACGTCACTGGAATCACTACAATTAGATAGAGCAACAGATAGAAAAAAAATCATGAGCAAAAAGGAATTTCACAGAAACGCAATTAATGAGAAGCGCGAGGTTTCTCAGAGTGAACTCAGCCGTAATTAGACGATTTAACTCAGCAGTATTCAAACAAGACGAGTAAGGAGGGAGCATACATGGCGGATGTCGAGGGTGCGGATATTGATCAAGTCGGTGATGTTGCCGTCGTGAAAGCACAGAGACTCCATTTCGCGAGAGAGAAAAGCTCACAGAAACCGTTTAGCTTCAACGGGACGATGAAATGGAGTAAAGCAATCCTATCTCTCGATCGGGGTGAAGTCGTTGCGAAGACGACGACGGTGAAAATTTTCAATATCCGTCAGTGCGATCATCGGACAGCTTTGAGCGCTCGGAAAATGCAGGCCTGTTGGAGAAATAATACAAAAGCAGCAAACTGCTTGAGGAGTGAAACTTGGGCCTCTGTAGTTTATTACTCTAACAATAAAGGCCCTCTGGCCACAGATGAGATCCTCATTGGGCTTGAAGAATGCAAGTCTTTTCATCTCATTGGGCTTGAAGAATGTAAGTCTTTTCATATCAAGATAATTGAAGATTTATCTGTGCTTATAAGCTAATTAAATTTATTTATAAATATTTTTTAACTCACAAGTTAGTTGATTGTATGTTTTTCTGTGCTTATAAATTGACTTTTAAGCTATTTACAAGCTATAAAAATTAAGTACCCAACAACTTCGGTTAGAGGTGAAAATTCCCTAGGCTTGTCGACAAGATACGTTCTAATTACTTTGTATTACATAATTTTCATTTTTTAGACCACAAGTCTATTAGCTCTGGATTTTGAGAACCCAACGACCAACACCAATGTACTTAGATTACATGTTAGGATAGTAAGGTATGAAGATATCAATAACTCTCTGAGCCGATTCGATTCTAGACCGAAAAAATTGGGAGGAATTTTTTTACATATTATGATATTATTTTTATATTCCATCATTTTTATAATTTTTCAATAACTTTCACATGAGGTGTATTCCTATAAAGTCCATCATAACATTGAAAAATGACTATGAACACATATCATCATAAAAAAAAAATCACAACAATCGAATACAAATTTATGTTTCATTCTAATGACTACAACATGTTTAACTACGTAAAAATATGATTCATGAAACAAAGCAATCTTCGACTGAAGTACTTTTTCTTTAATCTATGCATAAAATTACTTCGAGGTATCTTCAATTTTCTGATTATGACTCTTAGGTCCACATTATCTAAAATTTACTTTAGAGTACTCTGAATTTTCTTGGAATAACTCTAAGGTTTCACAATATTTGAAATATACTTTGCACCCATTAAATTTGTGATATTATACTTTGAGAGTACATTATGTCAATTTATGTGTTAGGATTGAAAGTTTTGTTACGTTGACAAATTGAAGAATGTTGTTTAAATTTAATAAAATAATAATTTTCAATGTAAAATTTACTCCCTCCGTTTTTTAAAACAATTCCTCTTTCATTTTTTCACTTCCAACAAAACACTTCCACTTTCTATTAAAAAACCACTTTTACCCTTACTTTTTCATACCCTACCTATCACATCATACTTTATCTCTAATAATCTATCCATCACATCTTACTTTTACATATCACATCAAGGGCAAAATTGGAAGTCAACTACAATTTAATACTTCCTTATTTTTACACAAAGTCAAACACAGGAACATTTTTTCCAAACGGAGGGAGTAGTATTTATCAAAGGAATAAAACTTTCAGTTCTAATGGTTAAATAAACGAAATGTACCATCGACAATGGCAGACCTATATATGTGATCAAGTGAAGTCAATTGACACAACTAGAATTAGTCTTAGGGCTGTAAATGGATAATCGAAAATTTGATTGTCGCCTGCATTTGTATCCATTTAAAAGAGAATAATATGTAAAACTTTCAGTTCTAATGATTAAATAGACGAAATGCATCATCGGCAATGGCGGACCTATATATGGTCAAGTGAAGTCAATTCACACATCTAGACTTAGTATTGGGGCTATTAATGTATAATCAAAAATTTGATTGTCGTCTGTATTCGTATTCGTTTAAACGAAAATAATCAGCATCTATTTTAAACAGATATTATCTGTGCATCTATTTTAAACAGATATTATCCTATCCAATTAAGGACATCTAATTACTAAACGGATACAAATTGGTAATTGTGTATCTAATTCTTTCTAAATCGGCTCTAGATATATTTGTTTAAATGACCCTTTATCCGAATTCCGAATTAAAATTACTCCGTATTTTAATAGATATAACCCTCTATCAATCCCATTATACATTTATTTTGTAGATAAATAAAAAAAACCATCCCGTTAAACATTTACACTTGGCCTATATATCCATAAATTATATACTCTACCCTCTAACATTAGTGCCTTAGCATTACTTCCTACTTAGTTGATTCTGAATTTATATTTTTACTCAAATAATTTATTTTTGGTTAAGTATTTACTATTTAGAGGATAATAGTTTTTACGATTCGGACGTTTTTCATTATTATGGATTTCGAAATCACTTTCAAATTCCTTTTTATAACCATTGGAATTTCTTATTAACAGTTTCGGATATTTAGTCGGACTCAGAAATTAGGTCGTTATTGGATACGTATTCGGATAATCGGATACAGATATATCTAAGATTGGGAATTATCCGTCGGTTACGAATTCAAACATAGAAATGCAAATATCATCAGATACGGATTTGAATTTAATCAGATTCAGGTTCAGATTTTCCATAATCGTCGTGGATAATCATTCGTTTACAGTCTACTTAGTATGAACTAGTGTATCGCCCGTGCTATGCACGGAGAGATAAGTCTATCACAAATTCAAAAAGGATATGAGAATAGTTGATACTGAATATCATTCAATCAATAAAAATATATGTCTATCTGCTTACATATCTTATTATTTATGTAATTCTAAATAAGATTACTAAAATAAAGAATGTGATCTAAAGTAGATTATATTCAATACCTACTATTGAAATGTAGTAAAGTAAACAATGTATGTTTAACATCAATCATACATTTTCAAAAATCTCCTTATGAACCACATTAACTGTAGTATTACATGGAGTATTATGAGAATTACATATCACCTGAAAGATATGTCTAACACTTCTCCCATACATCTTCGGGATGAACCAATGAGCCACAAATAAGCAAGGTTGCAAATAAATTACTTGCATCAATGATAAGTGATTAACCATTTGTTAAATCACTTGAAAGAGAATAGATAGAATCTATTTTGAAAATATTTACTCCATCCGTCTCTAAATATTTGTCACATTTGTATTCCCGAGGTAAAATATCAACTTTTTTCAATTCATTTTATTTACATATTGGTTTAGAAATAAAAAATAAAATTTACATATAAAAAAACTACATGAAAAGTTTTTCGAAATAAGAGGTGTCAAGAATATTTTATTTTATCAAATAACCAATGAAAACATAGAAATTTTTTATGATAACAGTTAAAAAAATTTTATGTTCCAACCATCGAATCTATGTATGGAGTAGTATAAAAGACATGGAAGTGACTAACAATAACAACACAAAAAAGAGATTTGTTTCTAAATTAGTGTTGATAACATGCCACAATCAATGTATGAATAATATACGGATCAGAATATAACATAAGGTCTTATAGTTTTAAGATAAATCTGAACTTAGTTTTTAAAATTTCCAAAAAGAACCGAAGGTTTGAGCAAATCATAAACATTTCAAAACTAATACTACCAAAAACCCTATTAAAAATCAAAGAGATGTCACTTGGATATGAATATACTTTAAAATCTGGAAAATACAATTTCTTACAAATAGTCTTCGAAAAAAATGCCAAAGGTATTATTGAGTATATAAAATAAAGGAAAGAGATGTTTAATTATAAGAAATAGGCAAACCTTCATTCCATGGTAATAAAGGGATCTGTGACCTTGCATACAGTAAATTAGAGAACATTTGATATTCTAACAACGTGATAATGACGACGATGAAGATGGGAATTTAAGAAAATGAAAAAGGAAAAATAATGCAGAATAACTGAGAGAATGAAAGTGCAATGAGATGAAGGAGTCGGCTTACAACGGTGGAGGTTTTAATGGGTTTTGGGCTTGGACTAAACGGGCTGCATTGGTTTTGATTAATTTTATCACTAATCAAATAAATGTCACGGAGTACATTTTAAATTAATAAATTATAATAATTTACGAAAAAATCTTAGTATACATATCTAATTTAGCCATTTAAAGTTTAATTAGTAATTTATTTATTTGATTATAATAGAGTAAAAATAACACTAAATTATTTGTTTTTGTCAAAAATGTCACTGTCTTTTATTTTCTTTCAATATTTCAAATTTTGACTCCAAAGTCAAAATTAACTTGTGGAGTGCAATTAAAGAAGATGGAGGATGTATTCAGGGCGGGGTGAGGGTCTACTGGGGGAATTCAGGGGTAGGAACCGTTAATTTTACGAAAGGGACACCAGAACGCCTATGGGTCATCATATGACATTGCCGGGCAATATCATGGACACCGTCCCGTTTAAAAAAATGAACTTAAGTAGTTGAAAGTGATGTAGATAAGAAAGATATATATTGAGTCACAAAATATTTTCTAAAAAAGAAAACAAGTCAAACATAAAGCTTCTTTTAGACATTCGCAATAAAAAAGCAAAAAGATTAATTTGAATAAGGGGGAGCATGTGATATTTTGTCATTTTCATTAATAAAAATAATACTTTCATTTCAAGAAAATTCCAACTTTTTTTAACATACATTACCAAAATATATCTTTATTTATTATCTTTCTAATAAATTAACAAGTGACTTGAAAACTTTTCTCTCATGTAAATAAATACCAACATCACACTCTCCTTAGGAAAAAGACTAAACTAATTAATTTTTTTGGAGATATTCAAAAAACAAAAGAACCTTTAGTGGCATTATTGAAAATATTAAAAGTTAATGGCATTACGGGAAGAAAACCAAATAGTGGCACTTTTGACAAAACAAAATATTTAATTGACATTTTTGAATGTTTTAAAGAGTTCATTAACATTTTTGGAAAAAATAAAAGGCGGTGACCTTTTTTGACAAAATGAATAGTGGAATGACATACTCTTTAGTGTGCGGATTATCAAACATTGTCTTCTTATTGGTTCCAAAGGTTTTCTCCTTTTAAAATTATACTCCTATTTTAAAACGAAAAAAGTATACCATATTTTTTTAGTTTATTTTATTTAAGAATTGGTGTAGAATAAAAATTAAAGTATGATCACTTGTATATAAAAAGTACGTCAAAATTTTACAAAATATTGGTTCATAATAGTATTTTATTTTTATCAAATAACTAATGAGAAATTACAAATAAACATAAGTTATCGTGAATTTAAATACTAGGGCACCTACTGTGAGGCGAAGGGAGTATTTTATAACGTAAAAGTCACATCGTATTTAGAAAGATATATTCTTGTAAGTTTTTGATCAGCTATGTGTTTATTTAGCAAAAAAACATCCTTGATTGACAGATCATTAGAAATATAATAAATGTCGTTCTAAAAATTCTCTCTATTATTGTTTGTATTATTTAAAATAAAAGATGTAATAAGATTTATAATTGTATGAACGTATATATGTGCATTTTTAATACAGTATTCAAGAACGTTATATATCAAATTTATTACCATATGTGAAGTATATTTTAAGATATTACATCATTTAAAACTAATTACCATTAACTTAAAAATTTTGTAATCATTTTGATTTGAAGATTTATGCTTTCCCGTACATCGCACGGGTGATTTTCCATAATCGTCGTGGATAATCATTCGTTTACAGTCTACTTAGTATGAATTGCGTTATGGAGTTTTGTCATCAAAAGTAATGTAGGGAAGGAGGTTATTTTAGTTGCAGATAGGGTTCGAAACCTAAATATTACTCCGTATAAAAATATAATTTTTCGAAATTACACTTCTAAATTACTCCCTCCATCCTATAATGTTCTCCCCGGTTCTGTTTATAAAGTTTGACTGACTTTATTTTGAATTGAATTTATTTGATTGTAGGCATAAAATTAAAAAATAAAATTTATATATTTAAAAACTACATCAAAAATTTTACAAAACAAGTGGTGACAAGACTATATTATTCTATCAAATACCTAATAAAAATAGGTAAAGAAAGTAACTAAAGTTTGATCGTGTAAAAAGTTAGTGGGAAAAACATTTTAGGACGGAAGGAGTAATGTATTAATGTTTAATTTATGACACTTTTTTTTTGTAATTCATGGTCAAAACTTAAAAACTTGACTAAGAAAGTAAAAATGTGAAGAAACTTATGCATGAGTTTAAAGTATTGTATTGAAAACTAGTTTCAGTGATTGCAACTTTTGAGTCTGCCAATGATACTCGGGGTATATTACCATAAATTTTAATGATTGCTAGAGTATACTACCTCCGTCTCACTCTCTTTGTTCACTTTTGACTTTTGGAACTGTTCATCTAAGCACTTTGACTCATCAAATTCTCTCAATGTGTAAGCCTAAATATAGTCATGTGTGATCTTTTTTGATTTGTCTTAACATATAGATTACTAATATATAATTTCTATAATTTTATAATATACAAATTACAAGATAAAATGGATTAAAGAAGTGCATTGAATGGTGTGCCAAAAGGTAAGTAGACAAAGAGAATGTGAGGGAGGGAGTATTTTAGATAACGTGAAATACGGAGTATAAATTTTTTACCAGAAAACCAAAAATACCTCAATTTATATTTCAAATAATGTGAGCTATAAAAGTAATTACTAGAACTTATTTTGTGTAATCTACATACTAATAATATCTCCTTAATTACTGTAGCATAAATTTGTTTTGTATTTGGGGTCGTGGGCCTGCCTGCGTGCCTGCCACTCTGCCAATAGGGAGCATTAATGGGAAGTGAAAGACAATCAGACGTTAGAATAGCTGGGCCTATGTCTGGGCCTGGGCTTGGACCTGGACGTGGACCTGAGTCTCAATGCAACTGCTCACTAGTCACTCCATCTTCGTGAAAACACTTACTCCGGGTAACTCCCAATCATAAATTACATACCGAGTATTTTGATTTTTTTAAAAGGGGAATGCTTAATAACATCTTGACACCAGTGACTTTGAAATGCTTATGATGCTCTATTTGTAAAATTAATAGTTCGTACTACCTCTAATGTCCCTCCCCCCTCCCCCCGTCCCATCAATTTTACCTAGACCCCTTACACTCGTAGATTGCCGATTTAGGCCCCCCCCACACCCATCTAGGGGGCTCAAGAAGAGTTGTGGTGGGGAGGTGAAATTGATGGGTTGGGGAGAGGTTTGTAATAAACTCATCAACTTCCCATTATCTATATCTAAAAAACTCAACCAGTCAGGATATTATTACTAGTAATATCCTTATAGGAACATCTTTATAGAAATAACCATGTTTTTTTGTAATTTTATAAACAATCACGTTATATTGATATTTTAATGACGTTAAAATTCTTTCTATGATTAGCTTTTATATTTATTTGTTAATTTTAATTAACAAAATAAACTGAAAAAAGATGTGGAGTAAGTTGGAGGGCAGAAAGAAAGTGACGAAAAAAATTAGAGGGGAAAGGAATCATCAAATTTATGGACGGAACACCGTTGGTGCCCCAAAAACTACTGGTGTCACGAACTGTGGGTGTTCAATATTAGGAAAGAAGAGGGAGAAAAGAAGTCAATAGAGAGAAGACAAAAGGAGATCAAGACCAAATATATTGCCTTAGTTTTTTTTTAAAGTATTTTTTATTAAATGTTTTTTTAATGAATGTAATTTTTTAATTTAATGAATTATTGTGATTTAAATTTAATTAAATGAAGTTTTATTTAATTTTAGAAGATGTGTATTAAAAATGTAAAAATTAAAGGTTGAAAGCCTCAGTTTGAAGCCCCGGGACTTCAAACCCGTTTCCAGTGGAATTGTGAGATAAGTTAAATCTTACGTAGCAGAGAGAAAAGTTCTGATGCCCCGGGACTTCACGGGTATTACTCGTGTTCTTATTGAAGGTAAATTTTCTTTCTTTCAGTGACTGTAAGGGCAAGTCTTAGTGGGCTCTCAGGATGTGGCTCATTTTTTTTTAAGTGAATTAATTTTCAGAAATTAAATAAAAAGTGAATTGATTATTAACATTTTACCAACGATGTAAATTGTCAATTGAAGGTGGGAATAATGTGTGCATTATGTAGCAGGACAAGACCAAGCCTTGTGAGTTGTGATCCATCCATTTGTTTGTTTTTCTTTACTATTTGTTGCTAATAAAAAGATAACTGTACCACACACAAACAGTACAAATGATGCCTCCATGCTTCTCATCTTTGCCCTGCTAAAAGAAAAAGAAAAGAAAGAAAAATCCAAAGTTTCTTTACAAAACATGTTTGCAGCTTTTCATTTCTATACATCGCTAAAGGGAAAAATATTCCAACTCACACAGGAGAAAAAAAAAAAGAAGAACCATTGAAATTAATCCCCAACTGCAAGTAAAAACAATTAATGACAGAGAAAACCAAAAGAGAATTCAATTTGTTGCTGTATACTCCCTCCGTCCGAAAATATTCTTCCCGTGTTGACTTGGCACGCTTATTAAGAAATAGTAAAAAAATGCAAAATTTTTAAAAATGCACATACCATAAACTTTTAAATCTCCTTTTATTATTACAAAAGTACTAAAAAAGTAGATTAGTGATAAAATAGAAAGATATTATTGAAATTTATCCTTAAAAAGCATACTAAAAAAGGAAATGGGAAGAATATTTCCGGACGGACCAAAAAAGAAAGTGGGAAGAATATTTCCGGACGGACCAAAAAAGAAAGTGGGAATAATATTGTTTCCGTCTCACCAAACCTTTCTGGTTTTGACTTTTAAACATTTCAAAAGAAGTATATTTAGATGTTGACTTTTCAAAAATACTCTTAAATATGATGGATAAAGTAGATGTGATAGGTAGATTAATAATGAAAAAATATGATATAATAGATAGGTTAAGAATAAATAAAGATTAAAATACTCCATAAATTTTTAATAAAAATGGGAATTTTTTTTAGAAAGATGAAAAAAGAAGAAAGATTTTGTAAAATGATATTTGAATTTAATATAGGTAAAGAGAAGAAATGCAGTAGTCCTCAAAAGGCCAAAAGAGTCCAATGGGAGTCAGGCTTGGTGGCAGGGATGATTATTAAGTGCTGCACCAAACCCCATAGTCCAACCAGACATACAGTCAAACTGAGCCTCATCAATGTGCTCCACAGCCAGGCAAATTTCACTCCCTAAAAAGATTTTTACATGTCAACCAAACAAGCCTTCATCCCAATTCAAAACTCCCCATTAAAGTGAACTGCAAATCTCTCTTTTTGAACTTAAATGAAATTGAATTGAACAGAATTTAAGACTTAAATAAGCTCTCAAAGCAGAAGACTAAATGGATTAATGAACTGTGAAAACTTCACAAACCCAAGATTATATACACCAAAGCAGTGATATGTAACCACAACAAATCCTCAAAACTTGCCTTCCTCTTTTTCTGTTTCTGCATTTTTTTTTCTTTCTTGAATGACCTCACAAAGGAAAACCAAACATCAAACTCACCTATATAACCATTACTCTTAGGAAAGCAAAGAAAAAACAAACAAACAAACAAACAATGTTTTCTCAATGTCATGTTTTCCTTAAAACTTTCACCTTCTAGAGCAGCCCTCTTCCCACTTCTTGACAAGATCATATCCAGCTTGAACCTGGCGAGTTTCCCATTGTTTCTTTTCCTCAGCCTTCCAGCTTCCTCCTCTTTGTTACAGGGCTGTTTGGCAAGGGATCTTCACAATGTCCCACCCCTGATTCATCGGTTGCATAGCTCAAGCAGGCTCCGGCATCAAGAACGCCAATCGGGCTGTGGGGTACAGAAAGGAGGAAAGTTCTTTGAGCCGTAAGAAAACTGCTCTGCGAAGAAAGTTCTCGCATTGATTCCATGCATCTCATCACTCTCTCCTGAAATAAATGTGAAGTGTTGGTAATTTTCACAGTCCATGAACTCATTCACTTTAGTTAACAATGGAGTATAACATTTACCTTTTGTATGTGATGGGTAAGGGAAGAAATTACTCTTTCACTGTCTCCAGCCTCAGTTTCTACCGCAACAGAGATTGCCACTGCAGCTGCTGCAATCTCAGATGACCTGAATTCTATGAAGTTAATTCCTGCATTTAATTGTCACCCCACCTAAATATTAGTCCTTGGCAAAAAAAAAAAAAAACCTTCAAGTGTGCTTAAACCACAAAACAAAAATGTATACACTTGAGACCACATTTACCTTTAAGTGTGCTTAAAATGAGTTCTGTGCATTTCACAACAGATGAGCTCGAAGCCATTTGATCTCCATTTACCTTCTTGAGGTAATAATCTATAAAAGAGAATGGTGTGACCGCCTGCATTCTCCATTTCAGCGTGCTCAACACGAGAAGCTCCATTCTTTGAATCGTTCTACCTTCAAACACAAACTTACTGTCCCCAACCTGGTAAAAATATCATCACACAATTTAACAGCAAAAACTTGACTGTTTATCCAACAAAAAGTAATTTTTCTGTAAAGATATTCACCTGTAAATCTAAAGAGAGGGGGACTTCGGTTTCTTCCATCTTTGCTGCCAAAGACAAACAAGCTACTGCTAAGAGCTGCATCATCCAGTTCTTGCTCCCCTGAAAATAATCAACCAGATAAAATATATTTACAATGTGGTTTAGGTGAAGTAAATTGGTGAGAGGTAATACTTTATACACAATAAAGATAAAAAGGGTTTGATAATTAAGGACTTACAGGGAGTTCATATGCAGAGAGAAAGCGATCGAGGTATTTCACAGCCAAATATGCACAGAGTGGTCCAAAATTGAAATGTGAATGAACCTATAATAGCCAACCCACCACCACAAGAAGATCATCAATGATTTGATTAACTCTGTATAATCCCACTTCTGTGATAAAAAAAGAATGAAGAAATTCTAAAAACAAGAACTAGACAAACAACACCTAAAGCCAGACAAGAAAAAAGACACTTTCATCAACATCGCCCAAAAAGAGACTAAACACAAACCGTACTAATCTTTGTTGGGGTAAAGGTTAATCAATCAACATTTTTCAATATTTACAATCGCTTAACAAAGTATTAAAAAAGAAAATCTTTTTACTCTAGTAGATCGGTGTATAGATCGAATCATGGATTTTTTTTTAGAAAGAAAAAAAAATCAAACCTTTGCAATCCAATCAAGAACCTCATCTCTAGCGGCGAAATCCAACTCCCCATTCTTCAGTTTCTTCAAGTAATCACAGGAAGGCAAGTGCTCACTCTCCCTCCGGATCATCAAAGCCAAACACTCCTCACTCTGAACCGGAAGCTCAGACAAATTTAGGATTCTGCGTCGACGATTCCGATGAACCGCCGCCGGCGACCCTGACCCTGACCCCGGCCCATCCTCTCCCTCGTCACAAAGAAGGCTCGAAATCGCACTGTCCAGACTCGGTCCCATCACAGAAAACAGCTTAAAAATTCAATCTTTAGATTAAGTAATTCACACCGGTGTTAATATATGCTTTAAATGAAGTTCCGATGATGAGATTATGGTTTCTTGATGAGGGAATAATGGGTGGCTGCTGCGATCAATGAAGTCCGTCTTGGAGAGTCAGAAGGGCATTTTCGGGATGAGGAAGGAGGGCGGAGGACAGAGAGAGCGGCTTGAAAGGGGTGGAGAAACGAGGGTTCTTGTATATATATTGGGTTTAGGGCAGAAAAATGGAAGGAGAAGGGATTGGGGGGCGAGTAGAAAACATCCCACACAGTACTTACTCAGGACTGGAAGAAATGAAAAAGAAAATTTGGGAGGTTAATAATGGGGAATGACAGTGAGAGAGGTGATGATAGGGAGAGAGAGAGAGGGGGGTAGTTTGGGCATTTAAGAGGTTTGCATCATGGGACATGTAGCCGAATGGCCCGTTATACGGAGGAGTCCATTTAATGATTCCCCCAGTCTTTTTTTAATACGAAGTACGGAGTGTGTTTTTTTACTTTCTTGCATTATTCCAACTTCACGGGAATTTATATTTATTTGTGTTTTTTTATGGCCTATATGATAAAATAAATTATTCTTGTCACTACTTGTTTTGTTGAACTTTTGATGTAGTTTTTAAATATGTATGTTTTATTTTTTATTTCTATACCAATATTTAAATAAAATAGATTGAAAAAATTAAGAATTTTTCTTCGTTTTGCGAACCGGGAAAAAAGTTTTAGGACGGAGGTAGTATTTCTTTTTCTTTTTCATAAATAAATTAACCATGTGCCCGAATATTGTACATTTAAAAGAATTTTTTTTTTGTGAGAAATATTAAAGTTCCATTTGAAAAGCTAGAAAATGACAATTGAAAAATGACTTCTAGAAAACAAGTCATTTTTCTGAAGTGATTTTCTTTTTATGGTGTTAAGACAAAATTGTGAAAACTATCTTTTTTTTGTTTGTCTAACTTTGGAATTTGAGTATCTTGAAAATGAGTTTTGATCAATTTATGTTTCAAGTATTTTATCTAACATCCAGGGATGGACCTCATCATCAACAAAATCTTTTCTTCTTCCAATCTTACAAGAGAGATAAAAAATCACTCCTTAAATCTTAACTTCATTTGAATTCAAAATTGATTTTTTTCTCAATAATACACGACTAAAATTATATTCTGGTCGATTTTGAAAAACCAAGTTGATGAACAAAAAATATACTTGTATCCCTAGCCAATTTTGAAGAGGACATGAAAATTGTGCAGCAGAATTCACTAGGACAAGTTTGAAGGAGAAGATTGAAAGATGGAAGAAGAATAAAAAGACGATTGGAGAGATGGAAGAAGAAAAGAAGAAGATTGAATTTGTATTTGTGGTGTGTGTTTACTTTTAAAAAATAGATTGAATTTATACAGGGAGGGGGAGATTTTTTTTAAAAAAAACCCAACGACATTAACGTCTTCTGGCGTCAAAAATGGAACGCAGGAGGCGTTACGAGTATTACCACTGCTCTAAGAGTGTTGTCGTTGTGTATGATATCTTATACTATGTGAATTATTCAGGGTATATGGTGATATTATTTAGAGTGTTTTTATTTTTATATTTTATTCATTTTTAGTTTTTTAAATAATAATATATACCTTGCTTTTAATTACAGAGTATCTAATTTCTTAGATATTTAGATTTTGTTGATTTATATAAAGTATTTGTTTTTGAGAACTTTGAGGTAGAAGTTGGATAGAATTAATCAATAAAAAACATTAGATTTTTATCTATTCATAGTTTCCTACTTTTTAGATTTTTTATTTTGTTATTTTTCTGTAATATAATATTCTAATAAGCAATGTTAAGTATTAATCTTGAGATTGGATTATGAAAATTGTTCATATCATTGTTCCTAAGAAGAATAAGAAAGTAAGATTTTTTTTAGCATTACTGACTTTATCACAACGTAGTATATGTTTATATTTTTTTCTTAACTTAATGACGTATAAAGAGTCAACGGCTACAACTCTATCGGGTGAAGTTCACAAGTGTTTTACTCTTTCTGTCGCATATGAATTACCTCTTTCGATCAATGTGCAAATTTTGCGATTTTGAAAATAATTTAAATTACAAATTAATACTTACTTTGTTCCAATTTATAGTGTCTGTTGACTATTCACAGGGTTAAACTTTATTCACTTTCTTTCTCTATTTTGTTAGCAATTTGATAAAATAAAGTACTATTGTCACTACTAGTTTTGTAGACCTTTTGATATAATATTTTAATATGTAATTTTTATTTTTTTAACTCGATTCCATTTGTCATTTAAAATGATTTGAAAATAATTTCAATCAAACATCGTAAATTGAAACATGCACTATAATTGGGACGGAGAGAGTATTAAAATAGACAACAAAAATTATATATTTAAAACCAATATCAAAATTTTTAATTAAAAAATGATGTAGCATTTCTTATCAAGATCATAATAATAAAGAAGTAAATCTTTTTGGAATAGGAAAAATATGTAGTATAATGACATCTTATTTTGATATCAAATTAAGCCAAACGATGATAGTTTTCGATTCCAATAACAAAAAAAAATCGTCATGTGAAAATATAGTCTTTAGGTCAATTTCTGAAAACTTACCATCTCCAAAACTCCAATGTTTGGAATGCAATTTCGTATATTGGGAGTAAAAAATTAGATAACTTTATTAACTTCGGAGTAAAAACAACTACATACGGAGTTAAAATCCAAAGAGGGGTAATATCGTCAATTAGTACAACGGAAGGACCGAATACGCTGTAATCTTTGTCTTGTTCCTGGGGTAGCAACACGTGGAGACGGTAACACGGTGTTAAGTGGGACGTTTCGGGGAGCGTTTTTTTTTTCCTTTCAAATTTTAAACATAACCGTACTATTTAATGGCAATAACAACAAAAATTTACCTACTCCCTTCCAAATTACTCCATCCCCTCCATTGTGAAACTTTTCAATTCATTTTTCACCATTTTTAGTGTCATACTTTGAATATGATTGTTTTTATTTATAGATAAAATATATATAGTAAATACTCCCTATGTAATATTTCAAAAATAACTATGTTTCAAAATGAATTTACTGATATTAAATTTATAGCACAATTTACTAATTTTTTACGCGATTTGTAGTCAAAGTTTAAACCAGTTAATCTTAAAATTCAAATTGAGAAGATTCAATATAAAAATAAAAGTCACGAAATTAGATTCAATATTAACATAAAAGTCAAACTAAAACGAATAATTTAGAAGGGAAGAACTACTAGATTAACCAACATTTTGCTTTTTCAACCACCAACATTTACTTGTACAAAAAAACCCCAAATTTACTCTAGACTCTATATTTCAAATACATTACACTTTTTAAAAATAAAAGTACGCATAATAAAACTTTATATTAAACCGACAAATATTTTGCGATAAATTCGTGATGCATAAACGTAACGCCAAAAATGGGTTGTCAAACAACTCAAAAAACGGATGAATTAAATGCAAACCTGGCGTGATCGATACGTTGCGATAATGTATTACGAGTACGTACAAAATTTACTTACTCCAAACACATAACTTCAATTCAAAATATAAAATGACAGAAGTCAAGTTATCACATTTTTTCTTTCTATATACTCTGTATAAATTTATGCTTCCCCGTCATATTTTATATTTGCCTATTTTGACCTTGGCTCATAGATAAGAAATGCAAAAAATGACATTGACTATCTAAAAATGCCCATAGAATCTATTAAAGGTAAATGTAGAATTTTTAGCTCCTCACCTCCTAATCACATATGCACAACAAACCCATCCAAACTAGATCACAACAAACCCATCCAAATTACATCTCAACTCTAAAAGAAAATGAAAGTAGCTTCAACAACACTTTGGGAGTAGAAGTGCAACATTCAAGATCCAAAAGTTCATACCAAACTCTTCAAGACCTGATAAAATAAATAAATAAAATAACTTTCACTCTTTATGTAAAGTGATAATTTTTTTTAGACAAAGGTTCCGTTTGGCATCAGCATTAGCGGTTAACATTAGCGTTTTGAAAAGAGTATCCGAAAGTAGTCATTAGCAAAACCTTATTATGCCTTAGTTTGCAGAGGATGAGAATGAAAAAAAAGAAAGAAGAAAAAAAGTGGAAGAAATCAGAGAATGAATGAGTATAAGATGAAATGAAAGCCAGGGCAAGTTCCCTTAATAGTTTGCAGTCATGAAAAGAAATGGCCATTTGCTATTTGTTACTTTTGGGAGCGTCTCTCCGCCCATTTGGACCCCTTACTTGGCAAATATCAAAAAAAAGTGCTTTTTCTTTAATCTCTTTTTGTTGCATATATTGTTTCTTCTGCAAAGTTTCTTTCATTTGATTTGCACCACTTTAACTACGATCCACACTTTAGTGCTATTTAGCTGATGAGTTCAATTTTGAATTCTTATACGCACTACGTACTACTAGTCTACTACTATCTTTGCCTTTTGTAAATCCCAATGATTTGGGAATAAATCTTAAGCCCGACCGGTCTGGTCCAACAACATATGACTTATTCGTTGTTTCGGTCCGGTCACGTACAAAGACTTAAAACAAATTAAACAAATTAAACATGTTGATCTCTTAATTTAAATGTTATTCTTATCTTCTAAACTTCATTAACAAACAATGCGGTCTAAGTCGACGCCAACAAACGGTGACATGAACCAGTCCCTACATCTGTTCAATTGAGGAATTGTATTGGTGTCGAGATTTGACATTACATAAAGTGGTGTCAAGTTAGACTTAGATCATGTTCTTTTCAAGTTATTCTTATTATTTATTACTCTTTCTAATTGAAATCAGATCAACAATAGTTTTAAATATAATTACATTTAGATCAGATCAGATCAAAACTTATTTCAATCAGATCATAACTATTCAGATCAGGTGAAGAGAACATGATTTTACTATTAACAAATACAAATCCATATTCCTCTTATGAATGTTAGGATGCGTGTATACACAAATTTACCATTTGTGCGTTTAAATTTTTACTTTTTAATGGTTTAAAATTGGTTTGTTTACTTGGGACAAGTCTGGATTGTTTGAATTCAAGTTATTTGTGACTCTAGCATTACTTTTAATTCTGTAGCATAGAAATGAGTCTGTGGCTAAAAAATAGTTACCCCTGAGATTGGTAATCACGGAGTAGTCCTAATTTTAATTACCTGTTCCATACTTCGATCCGTATCTTTTTACCCTCATCATGGTTTTTGCAGCAGGAATATAAGTGT